ATAATGCCCGCTTTCAGTGACTCTGCTAAATATCTCTCCATAGCTCCCTGTTCAGAATGAGACAGTTTATAAAGACGGGCTGACGGCAGGGGAGCCCCTGGGAGGAGATCGATGGAACAATCGTAGGGACGATGAGGGGGGAGGCTTAGAGCTAGATCCTTGCTAAACACACGCCGGAGGTAAAGATAATCAGATGGAACTTGGGACAGATCAGGAGGAACCTCTGGGGAAACAGGGTCTATTGAAGAACGGGGAAGGGCTGACTGCAGACACGAAGCCAGACAACTGGTGCTCCATGTTTCAATTCGTGACTCCCTCCAATTAATTAGAGGGTTATGGGCTGCCAACCACGAATAGCCCAAAACAACAGGAGAGTGTTTGGTGGGAAATACAAAAAAAGAGAGGTCTTCATGATCATTACCAGAAGAAATGAATTTAAGGGGAAGTGTCTGATGGGTAATGGTGACTAGGGGGCTGCCGTCCAAAGCAACTACTGAGACTGGAGATGGTAACAAACGAACAGGTATGTGAAGTCTGTTAACCAAGGCTGGATCAATAAGATTCTGCTCTGAGCCTGAATCTATGAGGGCTGAGACCGGATGTTGTGACTCTTGGAAACAAATAACAGATTGTAAAAGAAACCAGGGAGCGGGGGTCTCAGAACACGCGGATCTTTTGGGCGGACGGGACAGTCAAAACGAAAATGCCCAGAGGTGCCACAGTAGAGGCACTGTTTAGCCCTCATACGCCTGTCTCTTTCTTCCGGGGACAGGTGAGCCCTGCCTAGTTGCATGGGTTCGCCCAACGGTTGGCTCTCTGGGAGAGCCGAACGGTAACTAGGAGGCGTGACCAAGGAGGGAGGGGCGAGGCGTCGCGCTGGAAGAGGGTCCTGTCCCCGTCTCTCACGGGCTCTTTCACGGAGCCGATCGTCCACCCGAATGGCTAGACCGATCAGTTCCTCTAGGTCTGATGGTTTGTCTCGGGTGGCTAATTCATCTTTTAATTTTTCGGTGAGTCCATTAAGAAACGCCGCTTTAAGAGCTAGGGCGTTCCAACCTGTCTGAGAAGCCAGGGTCCGGAACTCGACCGCAAAGTCGGCTACCGAGCGGCCTCCCTGTTTCAGAGACCACAGTCTCTTAGCAGCCTCCTCCTCGCTTAACGAGGAGGAGAACGTTCTTTTGAACCGAGCGAGGAAGTCAGCATAACTAAGACTGAGGATGCTCGTTTCATCAATAAATGACTCCGCCCAACTCAAGGCTCTATCTCTGAGGAGACCGACAACATAGGAAATCCTCCCAGCGTCATCTGGAAAAGACTGGGGGGAACGACAGAAGACTAAGGAGCACTGCAATAAGAAACCCCTGGACTTACTCAGCTCACCAAAGAAAGGTTCTGGAGAAGGCGCGGACACCCCGACACCAGAGGTCGAAGGCGGCGCGATATCAGCGGGAGGTTGGACAGCTGGGGGAGAAGGAGAGGTAGGTTGATTCATGCTTAATTGTCCTCTTAGGTCCTGAATCTCGTGAGTCAGTAAACTCATGGCTTGACAAAGTTGTGCCTGCTGTTGGCTCATAGATTGTAATAGAGCCTCATGCTGTCCTAGCAATAACCCCTGGTGGGAAACTGCGCTCCGAAGTTGCGCCCCTGAGTCAGGCTGGTCAGTTCTTTCTGTCATGATAGAAAAGAACGACTCAGGATCAGAGCAACCACGGAGACAGACAGTTAGTTTTAACTGGTTTATTGTAAAGTGCTGGTAGACAGGTGATGACTGGTTTGGTATCTTCTGGCCTGCTTGGAGGGCGAAGGAGGTGGTCAGAAACAGCCTGTGGCAGTAAGAATGTGGAGAGCTCAAAACTCACAGAGTGGGAGGCTTGCCCGGAGCCAGGGGGGTGAAGTCTGTGGTCCAGTGCAATCCAGCGGTTCCCTCAGTCTCTCTTGTGCAGATGGTTTTTGAGGGTGGACAGGCAGGCGATTAGAGGAGTCCAGCTCCCTGGCTTGTGATTTCTCTGGCTTGGATTTCAGGTTCACGCTGGAAGCGAGAAAGAACTGACGCCCTCCTCCTGGTCTCTGCTCCTTAAGAAGGGCTGAAATCAGCAGTGATGAGGAGCACCTGCCAGTCCACCCTGCAGAGAAGAGAGAGAGAGACAACCCATCCCTGAACCCAGGCCTGGAGCATGACATTATGTCTTTATCTGCTTCTGTCTCCTTGAACCCCAGGCGGCCTCAGAAGATGGCCGCTCACACTGAGCCTTGTTCTGCTGCAGGTCTCTTCCTGTTAAAAGGGAGTTTTCCTTTCAACTGTCGCTACATGCATGCTCGATGCCAGGGATTGCAGAGAGTAAATGATTCATTGCAATCAGCTAGTTTTCCTTAGATAAAAATATTTTGAAGCATATAATTGTGTTACCTGTATAAATAAATTGGATACTTTTCTAATTGCAGCTTTTCTCTGTGTGAATCTCTCCAGACTGAATTATTTTATAACCTCCCCCTGCATGAAGAGTACTTCAAAACTGTGTTCTTGGGCTTTGTGCAGTGCTTCTTGGTCCTCAGCAGGCTGTGGGTTATTTAATCATCTCTATCAAACATCAAAGACACAGCACAGCTGCATTTATAATGGGTTTTGCAAGAAAATGTAGTGTTTAAATTAGCGAGGATGAAGTTCTCATCACATCCCAAAACTCTACTTCAATTTTAGCCACTCTATGTCAAGACAATAGCTACAAAACTTAATAAGGTAAGACATTGACTACTTATAGCTTCCTAACAGAAACTCAATTAGAAACATCGGCCACTATATTCAACATAACATAACTGTTTATAAATACCTTAATAAACAAGTAACATCATGGAGTTGATGTTTCATTTTTTATGAGAGTAAATCTGAGATAGTTTTGTGACTGCATCAAAGGAAACAGTGACATCATGAAAGCAAAAAAAAAGTATATATATCTATATATTTATATAGATATATATATATAATATTTGTTTTTTTGCCCCACATAAATATTTCTATTGCAAAGCTGAGTTCACTAAAGAAGTTCCATGCTTTGGAAGTTGCTCCCAGGATGAAAGCAAACAAAGATGACTAGTGCTTTACAAACCAGAGGGTGTCAGTGTGGTCCTTCTCACTGCTGCTCTACCATGTTTCAGTTTTATGTCACAGGAAATTCCAAAAGGATGTGTGCATCTTGTGGCAGATCCATATCATTACCTAGTGTTAACCGAAGTGTGAATACATGAATGGGATTACTGATCTGTTCATGTCTGAAAAGAATGAAATTGGAAAAGTATTCAACCCTTTCCAGATGTCCTCATATTGCAACCACTTGAATGTATGTCATTGGGATTTTATGTGACAAACAAAACTAAGTAAAGAATAACTGTGAGATGAAACCAAAAGGAAAAAAATATTTTCAACTTTTCCAAATTTAAATCTGAAAAGTGTGGCATGCATTTGTATTCAATCCCCTTTTATCCAATCGTTTTAAATAAGATCAGGCATAAGATCTAATGGGATTATTATTATTATGAAGTCTGGTATTTGAGGCATTAAAATAAAACCAAACATCACATGATAGTGGCAGCATCATGCTGTGGGGAGGCTCTTATCCAGCAGGAACAGGGAAGTTAGTTAGAGTTGATGGGAAGATGGCAAACGGTTGGGGCTGCAAAAATCTGTTTTTGTCTGAGTTTATGTTTAACTGAGCTATTTTGCAGAGATAAATGGTCAAAGCTGAGTTTGTTCATCTGGATATCACCTGTAGTTGTAACTGCAGCGAAAAGCAAAACTTTTTCAGAAGCTTTTAAAAGTTGAAATGCTTCGGTTTCATTGTGTTATAATTAATTTTCAGGAACTACCATCATATCACTGGGGAATTTGGAGAAATAAATAATTGGTTTGGATCTAGGTTCTGTACAAGGACTCTGGGTTTACTGTTGCTAATATCATAATCTCTTATAACTCCATCAAAGCATAGACCTGATATATAATTTAAGTTTGATGAGCTAAAGGGTTTAACCAGGACTTAAGCATCCTCTTTAGTTACATAATTCACAATAAAATTCTCCACGTGCACATGTCAAATGTCAAGGTTTATGATGGCTTTCTAAGTATAGACCATTTTGCCTCCCTCCAGGCATCTCTCCTGTATTTATTCTCTGGGTCGGTAAGCCTGCTGTTCTTGGCAAGCATTCCTTCTGGATTAAATCGATATCTGGAATCTGCATCAGGTCCCCGCTTGTCATATTTAACTTTTCTTTTAAAATAATCCACAGATTCTTTGAATATGCAGCACATCCTCTGAGAATAACCCAGGAGAATGTTACATCAGCCTCAGACCCGTGACAATGATGACACCTTTGCTGTTTATATCCCACCCTCCTGATTTGTTGTTTACCTACTGAGGGAAAAGCCCCATAACAGTAAAGGCAAACCTCAATATGGCAACATTAAAGAGATTTACTATAGCTGAAAAAAAACAGCAAATATTAATCTCAGAAACCAAAGTCATATAGATCATTTTGCTTTCAGACATCTGTAGCTTCTTTTTGTTTTTTTTGCACAAAATGAACAAAAAAAGCTTTAATTTCAGTAGATAATTCCTCTTTAACCTCTTAAAAACCATGTTTTTGAGGGATTGCTTTTGTTTTTAGATTTGTCTTCTATTAACTGTTTTGCTTTAGTATAAGATGCACTGAAACACAGCATTTAACACCAACATATAAAAATGAACCCAGCTATCTCAACAGAAGAACACCGCCATCTTCTAGACTTTGTGGCTTTATAAAAATAAAATCATGCAAAACAAGGGATTTAAAAAATGTCTCAGGAAGTTTATCTTAAATTTGAATTAATGACATTTGTGAACCGAAAACACAAAAATCTAATAAATATTTAGTTTGTGTTTGCAATAATCCTGCTTTAGGTGTAGCAAAAAGCTCCACCAGTGAGAGGAGGAGCATTCCACCTCTCAATATAAGCCCTAAAAGCCAAACCGCCCCCCTGGATCTGTCACTGGTCCTCCAGTCTCCCCCCTACTAAGACTTCCAAATCGTGTCCTCATCAGCTGTGGGTAAAGGAGTTCAGAGTTTCTTCAGTTTCATCATCATTATTTCCCTCTTCCTCCTGGACTAAGAGGAACCCACTGATTGCATCTACCTGCAGAAACCTCCTGATTCCTTGAAAGTTTTCTCACAAGCCGGCTCAAGATGCCAGAGCCAACAAAGAAAGGTAAGAGTTCTGTTTATAAAAAAAACAATCCGATTTACACCTGCTGCTCTGCTGGTTTTAACATCACTGATGAAAAGTAATTTCTTAAAGAGAGTAAGGATCTGGGATGCAAATTGAGATTTCTATTAATACACCTTTGACTTAATGAACGGAGACAGTTGCTTCTCCCAGCAGGGGAATCCATCACTTTGCGGCTTGCCTGCCAACTTGTACACAGGAATCTTCAAAGTGACTTTGACAGTGGTATTATATTACTGATGCATGTGTGTCTCTGCCATCTTTGGTGTAAGTAATGATCTGATATCTGAGGATGGACAGTGTTGTTGCACACCAGAGTGATCTGACTGGAGAGAGATATGATGATGGAGAGCGGCGCAGGAATGTAGAAGAACACTCTCAGCCAGACACAAGTGGACCTCTCAGGAAGGATGATGCAATTTGAGACGCCATACAAGGATAAATCTTCTAAATGCTTTCCTGATGACTTGTGTAGCCAAGCAGAAAAGGCCTTTTTTGTCCTTTGAGACCTTCCCCCTTTACATCTAAATTAAACCAACCATAGCATCAGAACCCATCTTTTGTCCCGCCCTCTTGTTGAACCTTTCTTTCGCAACATGAAGTCTGTCATCTGTACTGTCATGTCCATCAACACTGTGTCAGTCATCAAATGATGGTATTATGCCTTGGCTCCTCATTAAAAAATCATCTTAGGGTCCAATTTCCACTCAGACAAGCTCGTATAGAAAAAAAAGAATGTAATTTTTAGTCTTTGGGTAAGCGAATGCAAGCTTTTAATAGTGTTAATGTTGATTGATGGTTCAAAATATCTAACACTGGACATCTATGTATATCTTTTTTACGATTTGGGTAGGACGTTTCTGTATTTATTTGTTCAATGTGTATATATCTCAAGTCAGGCTTTTTAAATTTTGATCAACCCAAACTTTTAAAGGTTTTAAGACCTTTTCTTTAGCCAAACCAAATATCCAGATTTGCACAAACTTACAATTAAACAGGCAATTCTAACTAATTGACTCTCTGAGTAGTTTAAGGCAATGACAGACCAGAAAGTGTGCAAAATGTAGTCTCAAAACCATTTGACCTTAAGGAGCTTTGTGTAAAATCCTCCCCATTAACGTCTGTCTGATTTAGAGCTATAAAGATTAGATCAATGCGTGACTTTCTTAAGCCAAGAGAGAAAATGTTGAACCCAACTTTTGAGACACTAGCCAATATCCAAACTAATCATCACGGGAATTAAAGAGATTTTCCTTAAAATAAAAATAAATAAAAAAAGAGTGAAGGGAGCCAGTATTTATACAGTGATATTTTTGCTCCAGTAAATAATCTTAAGATCTTATTTCAAGCCAAATTTCCTGTGAGCCCAGAATCATTTTTAACTCAGGGTAGAAGCCTTAAGGGACAATTTTTTGATCCATCATGGCTTGATAAAGACAATGAAATTCAAGTTTTGTCAGCCTAGTTTATATAACCCTTTCACCCTTTAATTTAACCCTCATCTCTTTAATTAATTATGGTTTAGAAACTGTTGTTCGTAGAGTAAAAAATTATTTGTGTACCTTTTTGATGTCCATCTACTCCATAAAGACTACAGACACCCACAAATCTGTGGTAAATTAAAGCCATACAGTCTTTCTTAAAATATAAACCAAACCAGCAGATAAAAGAGCGTAAAAGTATTGTTCTTCAAATGAACAGCTGAGGAGGAGGAGCAGCCAGGGCTGTTGTTTTAGACACCCAAGTCAACACTAGAAATGGTAGTCCATGGGTCTCTCGGGAAACAGATTCTTGTCCCTGGAATAGTTCAGAATGAGCACACTTTTAATCCCTGTAGCTTGTTCGGTGCCATCTTAAACTATCACTGCCCAATCCTTCCCCATCTCCCTTTCTGCCACACGCCAAAACAGACATCTCCCTGCCACTTTCAGCTAAAGATGGATCACTAAGAGGTCAGGCACTTCCCCATTAAACGTCGGCAGCCGTGCCCACACGGCCCCTGGGGCTGTCCGCACTGTTTACAGCTTCTGAGTGTCAGTTGTGGTAAAACCAATGTCTTCACCTCATGATGTTTATTATATCCAGTCCATCACTCTCTCCCGACTCTGTCTTCTGGTCATGTTGCTTTGTGTTATGGGATATCACATCATTAATCAAACTTGTGGCAAAAAGAGGACGGGCTGTCAGCAGTTACTTATCACCTCAGGGAAGTTCTCATCTACTTACTGTCAGCAAAGATGAAAGGACTGAAAGACTCTGAAAAAAACAAAGCTAAGAACAAGCAGTCTCAATATTAGATCCTCTGTGCCAACATTACAAATGTCTATTGAAGGAAAATATGGAGCTGATAGTGATTTGGCTTTCAATTGAGCCTTTATGAGCCGTTCTGTCTGCAGGCTAGCGTGGACAACAGCTGCACATACCTGCAGCTTTGTCAGCTGCACTGGGAGCCCTCCGGGGTAAAACAAAACCTTTCCCCACACTCATTATCTCAGCGGTGATGGGGCAGAGCGAGGCGGAGGTTCAGTCTTTGGTAGATGATGTGACCCTGCAGGATTGTGGTCGGGTGGCCAGCAGTGCATTGTTATGGAGTGAGTGTGGAGAATGGTTCATTTTGAGATTGAGAAGATGGCAAAAGAAAGGTTAATTTGAAATGGCAACTCACTGTCTGTGCAAAATGAAAAAAGTACAATACTATGTGATTTACTCTATAGATATCACTGCTGGGGTTAGTTTTAAAAGGGCCTTTTTTCCCCCAATAAACTATATAAAAAAAGTTTCCTTTATAACAAAAATTCTATTATGCCGAAGCTAAAATTGTGCTTTAATTCATCATTTAGTTTAAAAGTCAGTCATGTGACCACGAGTTTCCACCAAGAAAGTTTTTCATTCCAGCACTGATCCCATCTGTCTGGACCTATCCTGTTTCCAATGCCTCTATGGTGAGCTCAGTATTAGTTTTAGTTTATTTCCATTCTTAGGGCCATTTCAAACTAGATTTCCTAAAGTAGTTAGTAACTTTGAGACAAAAAAAGGTTTATTTTTCAAAGCAGGACAGCAAACACGCAAAATCAAAACCCTCACTAGCCATTATATCGATTTAAATGAAAGGAAGCTCTCTCTGTAGATGCAAGTAATGCTCCAACCATGTGAGGTCAACTTCAACGTGAATTTTCAAATTCCAATTGTAACATTGTGAACAAAAGTTCTTGGATTTTTTTCAATCCCACGTATGACTAATTACTTTAACTTTGCTTAAAAACCCTTGGGGTGGTTTATAGGTGGATTGCTGCAAGGTAGCAACCATTTAGACAGTTAATTTACGGTGTAGTAGAGGTTGAGCTGTTTTAGTTTTGGTGTTATTGTTGGATTAATACTGGTAACTAATAGCTTCATTTGCCTTAAGCACCGTAGTTTAAATATCTAGATGTCTAAACCTCCAAACCTCATCTGCCTTAATAGGGGTATTCCTCAGGAGTGATGTGATGAAGCCAGAGCTGAGCCAAGAGGCAAACCTCTCATGTTACTAGTCATTCTACATTTAGTCTAACTTTTGGCCATTAGATATGGATCATGATCGAAATAACAAAATCCCTCATTCAAGCAACTGGAATAGACTTCCTCCAGATACTAGCCAAGCTCAGCTTAGAGATGGGGTGTTGAGCTCTATCATCTGAAGGGGCTCAGAGAGAGCCGCTGTTCCTCTGAATCATTCAAGACGGGCATCTAAGGATGTATTTAGGCGGCTCCACTTAGAGCTACTCTGGGCAACTTCAACATGGCAGAGACGGATGGTGTCTGAGCAGACCCAGATTTCATGAAGGACTATGAATCCCTTTTTAGCATTGAAATTTATTGCAATCCTAAGCATGACCTGAACAAAAACATTTAAGTTTCTTAAAATAGCCAAGAGCTACAGTAGCATAAGCTTTCATGCCACCTTAGAAACGAGTGCAACATCTAACATTTTATTTATTTTATTACTTTTGTTTTATTGTTTTATTTTCCATCATAAAAGCATGAACACTGGCAACCAGAGGCCAGCCAGGCAAGTTTGTTTGACTGAAAATATTATTGAAATCAGTTCAAGTAAGATAGACAACAGTGGCTGAAACAGGGCTTACTATCTTTTTGTATTTCTGGCTAATTTGGCTCCCAATATCAGTCTAAAAAGGTCCAAACAAGTCAGAGGGCATAAAAATTAAGAATTAGGAAAGTTTATTTGATGATTAGTTGAGTCAGCATTGTTTCCAACCATTAGACGCCATTTATCCAGCACATTCTGTACATTAACCCCTCTTTGATACCTGTTCACCTCCAAACTGTATATTGTGTTTATTTTATTCCCTTTGCTTTGCATTACAGACATTACACAAGGCATCTTACAGTGTTGTATGACATTGTTTTGTTTGTTTTTCTGCAGACGAGATGCCAAATGGTCAGCCAGAAGGTGAGTTCATATCTTATCTCCCAGTCACCTTACAGTCTGTCAAACAAATTAGAGCTGGCAAGGATGAGCAATCTTCCAAAATGTTGTTTAAAAACTGAACTTTGCCCAAAACTAGAAAGAGATTCAATATCCTGACTAAAACAGGACGTATCTGTTGAAGTTTGCACTCCCTACATGCTAGCACAGACCTGCTTGGACAGAAAGGATTACATCTGACAATAAAAAGTGGTGTAAAAGTGCCAACACTGACACATTGGAGTGTAAATGCGGAGCCAATAGACAGCAGTATGGAGTTGCTGCTGCTCTCTAGATTTCTCTGTGACGAGGCTGTCAACATGTCATGCATTCCTCTCCCCTACCAGCTGATCCCCCTTTGTTGATTCAGCTGACGGCCCTGTCATTCCATGTGAGCATGTTGCTGGCATTTAACAGGCTTTTAGCGGGGACTGGGGGTTTGACCTTGGAGGAATAGCATCTTGGGGCTCTAGCATGGTCGAGGGGAAAGAGCTCATCTTTTTAGGATTTTACTAAAAATAATCCAGGGGACAGTGCAGAAAAATAATTCTTCTCACTCATAATACTTAGTAGCATAACAGTCAAGTAAAACGTTAATGTTAATGGATAGATTTACTCAGTCTGCAAAATATGCAATACCTTTCTCAGATTTAGATCTGGACTTTGACTAGACCATTTTTTCACATGAATAGGTTTTAATGCTGGATAGTCATTTGAATCCCTGTACCTGCTAAAGAAAATAATTCTCACAGCATCATACTGCCACCACTATGTTTAATCATGGAGATTGGGTGTGATATGCACCATCACTTTTTTGCTGATAAGCTAAAAAAATCTTTAAGTCTAGTACATGATTGGCGGCAAACCTAAACCCTTTTTCATGGGTCTCTTCCTGCTGCTCATTCTTAAAAGTCCAGATTTATGGAGAGACGTCCAATCATTATGTGGCTCAGAGCCGCTCCTCCAGAGTCACCATGGGCCTGTTTGGGTTCTATTCATGTTACAGCTCATTCTTTCTGGCTTCTCCTCCACAACTTTAGCCCTGAACTGTTTATTTAGTCTCTTGGTCTATGATACATTATTTTGAGCTAATTATTACTAAAGGGTGAGTTAAACCCCAGTGTGACCTACATGTGAGATTTGTGAATAAACTGAAAGCAGTGAATGGTCTATTTAACGTCTTCTTGCCAACGATGCCTTACTTCAGGTCAAATGCATTCATGTTTACAGCTAGAACTTTACAAATGGCAAAAAAATATTTGCAAGGCACTTGAGTTATCAACTCTACAAAATCAAAAACAGGAAGTAATTAACAACACAATACATGTATAAACTGTCCCAAAAGGTACGGAATAATGCTTCTGTGTATATCCTGTATGTAAATAATCTGTGAGATCAGTGAAGAATAAGAAATATGGTGTAGTGAAGGTAGGTAGGCAGGTAAAGATGTGTTTCTTTGTATGCCTGTTTGTTTTGGCGTCTATGAGTGGGTGAATGAGTGCAGATGTTAAAGCTGTGTTACCCATTTAAAGCAGTTGCTCCATCCATCAATACAGGTGCTGGTCATAAAATTAGAATATCATGAAAAAGTAGATTGATTTCAGTAATTCCATTTAAAAAGTGAAACTTGTATATTATATTCATACATTACATACAAACTCATATATTTCAGATGTTTATTTTGTTTAATTTTGATGATTACAAATGACAACAAATGAAAATCTCAAATTCATCATATCAGAAAATTAGAATATTACTGAAGACCAATAAAAACAAAGGATTTATAGAAATGTTGGCCAACTGAAAAGTATGAACATGAAAAGTATGAGCATGTACAGCACTCAGTATTTAGTTGGGCCTCCTTTGGCCTGTATTACTGCAGCAATGCGGCGTGGCATGGAGTCGATCAGTCTGTGGCACTGCTCAGGTGTTATGATAGCCCAGGTTGCTCTAATAGTGGCTTTTAGCTCTTCTGAATTGTTGGGTCTGGTGTATTGCATCTTCTTCTTCACAATACCCCATAGATTTTCTATGGGGTTAAGGTCAGGAGAGTTTGCTGGCCAATTAAGAACAGGGATACCATGGTCCTTCAACCAGGTACTGGTAGCTTTGGCACTGTGTGCAGGTGCCAAGTCCTGTTGGAAAATGAAATCTGCATCTCCAAAAAGTTGGTCAGCTGCAGGAAGCATGAAGTGCTCTAAAACTTCCTGGTATGTGGCTGCGTTGACCCTGGACCTCAGAAAACACAATGGACCAACACCAGCAGATGACATGGCACCCCAAACCATCACTGACTGTGGAAACTTTACACTGGACTTCAAGCAACGTGGATGAAGTGCCTCTCTTCTTTTCCTCCAGACTCTGGGACCTTGATTTCCAAAGGAAATGCAAAATTTACTTTCATCAGAGAACATGACTTTGGACCACTCACCAGCAGTCCAGTCCTGTTTCTCTTTAGCCCAGGCAAGACGCTTCTGACGCTGTCTGTGGTTCAAGAGTGGCTTGACACAAGGAATGCGACAGCAGAAACCCATGTCTTTCATACGTCTGTGTGTGGTGGTTCTTGAAGCACTCACTCCAGCTGCAGTCCACTCTTTGTGAATCTCCCCCACATTTTTTAATGGGTTTTGTTTCACAATCCTCTCCAGGGTGCGGTTATCTCTCTTGCTTGTACACTTTTTTCGACCACATCTTTTCCTTCCCTTCGCCTCTCTATTAATGTGCTTGGACACTGAGCTCTGTGAACAGCCAGCCTCTTTAGCGATGACCTTTTGTGTCTTGCCCTCCTTGTGCAAGGTGTCGATGGTCGTCTTTTGGACAACTGTCAAGTCAGCAGTCTTCCCCATGATTGTGTAGCCTATAGAACTAGACTGAAAGACCATTTAAAGGCTTTTGCAGGTGGTTTGAGTTAATTAGCTGATTAGAGTGTGGCACCAGGGGCCATCAATTTTGAACCTTTTCACAATATTCTAATTTTCTGATATGATGAATTTGAGATTTTCATTTGTTGTCATTTGTAATCATCAAAATTAAACAAAATAAACATCTGAAATATATGAGTTTGTATGTAATGTATGAATATAATATACAAGTTTCACTTTTTAAATGGAATTACTGAAATCAATCTACTTTTTCATGATATTCTAATTTTATGACCAGCACCTGTATATTTGTCACATACTCAGAAAGTGTGGCACCAGACAGTAACGGTGCCCCAACCCTACCTGAGATATCTCTGGAGGTTTCCCCCCCACCAGGTGGGTAATGCTGCCACCTCACCGTTCATTACCACATACCGTGTTGCACCCCTTGCACATCCCACTTACATCACTTGTTGTTGTTGTGCCTCACCTTATTTTTATTCCTTATTTCACTTCAAAGGGCTGAATCTGCACTTTTCTTGCACTGTATGTCACACAAAAACTTGGTTTAGGTAGTGTAGATCAATCAGATCCAGGTGCATGTGCTCCTCTAACTGGGAGATGATGCTTTTACTAACTGAGGCTGTGTCTGTTCCTGTATTGTGATGTCATATAGAGTCATCATATAGGAGGCTTAAAAAGATTGGACACCTGAGAAAATCTCAATTTTACTATAAGATGATAATTTAAGTAAATCCTTGCCCCTTTGATCACGCTAGGGTACAAATATGCAAAGACCGGAGAGATAATGCTTTAAAATTCAGGTCAGAGATTGACTATCCATTTTAGCCAAACAGCAATGCCATTGGCAAATGTTAATATAATAAAAAAAAAAAAAAATATATATATATATATATATATATATATATATATAAAAGGACAAAAAGCATAACTCGAACTCAGGCAATCAATTTACCATTGAGTCTGTCTGGTCTTCAGCTGTTTGTACGAACCTTGCCTGAACAAGTGCCGTCTTGTCAGGCTGCTGGTGTTTGTGCTATGTGCTTGCTGCTCCAGCCTGGCACTTTATCAGCTATACAGAGTCGGTAGAAGAGGGGAAAGAGCCAGTAGAGACTGATGGGAAGAAACCAGAGCCCACAGGTTCTGAGCCATTACAGGCTGAGGTGGCTCAGGAGCAGAAGCCTGTCCACAATGGTTCAAATCAACCAGAACCTAGTGGGGTTGGGGTAAATGAGCAAGCAGAGACCTCTAAACCCGCTGTAAAGAAAGAGGGCCCTTGCTCTCCCCCACCGCCTGGTAAGTATGCTGCTTTAATAATGTGATTCATTCCCAGGTCTCTATCTCAGGGAAAGTGCATGTATTCACCCCTCCAGTCTACAGACCAAATGCAACTAAAATTGGCCAGATACCTTACAAAAGGAAACTGCCATATCCAAGCAGCTGGCTTTTAAAAAAAGTACTCAATGTAATCCTTCATTTGCACTTGGGTAAAAGCTTTTTACCTGGTAGGCATGCCAAGGACTTTACTCTTACTGTGTGACGGGAGCCGTGCATTACAACTAATCCGGACTGTGTTTATTGGCATGCAGGCATCCAGAATAGAAAAGAAAGGCCATACAGTGCAAAAAGTACCAAAGGGTTTTTCTTTGAGCTAAATTACATTAATCTTAGTGTTTTATCCTGAAATTTCTGTATCTGCTTTCAAGATAAAACATTAACACTAAGAAAACTTCAAAAGCAGCCAAAGTTAGATAAATCTAGAAAATATAATGCACGACCTACAGAGTACAGCGGAAAAAAATGCTGATTGTTAAGTTTTCCTTTAGAAACTCACTGACAGCAGCACCCACATGTACAGTTAGTCAAATATTGTTGTAGTTGCTGGAAGGAAAACATTAGGTAGATAAGGGTACACAAAGTACATTTACCACTGCACACTATTAAGGATTGTGAAGAAAATTCAATTTAAGTTGTTTTAGAGAACCATGCCATCTACTGTTGAGCTTTTTTTTTGTCTTAAGCCAGCCCAATAAATATTTTAGAACATGTGATGCTTTCATCTGCAGACAAACTTTATAGAGATGCTGATTTGTATTTTCCAGAAGAACTTGACATCTAACCACCCAGTCCAAAATACCAATACCTGCTTTAATGGCCATCATACAACGTTGCTTGATTGCAAACTCTCCGGATCTAAACCGCAGATATAACCGACAGCCTGTTCTCAAAAGGAAAAGAGAAACAATTAGACCAACCTTCATTAATTAAACCCTAAATTAAGAAACAGACAAATCATCTTCGTGCGACTCTTCATTGATCCCAATAGGACGACTAAGTTTGTACTCGGTGTAGAGTACAAACCGACAGTTGTTAGTGGGAGCACATTTCAAAAAGAGAAAATCAAAAATCCCTATATATTGTAGTGACATGAGCAGAATTGATCGCAAGATATTCTGACCCGGCATAGAAACATCCCAATATGTAAAAACATTTCCCTTCAAACCCTGATTTTTAGAAGTGTAACAACATAAATGCTGACACTTTGTCAAATCATCAAAAAGGAACCTCCCTATTCCTTTCAGTTTTTTTAATAAAAGGTTCTTCTGAGGATAAGATTTAAATTAATTGATAATGGACTGAAAACAAAAGCATGTTGTTATGATCGGATCAAGTTGGTTTGAACTTAATGAGAAGACTTTTAACTTTATTTGTCATTGGAGATTTGTCTTTTTATGTCTTTTTAGTAGTATATTTATAGCAATTATCTGTTTAGGTTAAGTAGCAGGATGTTTTAGAATGTGATTAACTGTATATTTGTCCACTATTGATTGCTTTAAGGTTAAAATATGTATATGTCCACTTTGAGGATGAAATTTGCGTTCCTTCTGCTGCTCTAAGACTTGTACCACTGTATCAAAGCTAAGCTATAGAGATGTGGCGTTCCAATTCATTACTCCAAGATAAGAAAGCCAAGGCTTTAGTTAAGTGTCTGTTCAGTTTCCTTGTTTTTTAAATTTCTGAGTACGTTAATGGTCTATTCATAGCCTGTTAGAACTGGGTTTATTAAGCGGCTTAATCTATACGTAACATTATTATTGAAGGAAATGATAACTCTGCAGCATCAATAGGAGTCCTACATATAAAACCATCTCCTCTAGGTTAACAACTAAAACCAGATATTTAAATACAAAGAGCGAAAAGACTCCTAATACATGTAGCTCACGTTCACTGAATCTGACAAAACTTTTTCTTTAAACCCAAAATGATTTCTCTAATTATTAATTTTATTATATTCAGTTTTTATTATTTCTTGAAATTCAGAAGCTGACATAAAACGAAGCTTGATTTATAATGTTGCGTTTCAAACATAGACTGTTTTAATGCTATGTTTGAAAACAATTCAACTACAAAAAACAATTAGATACTCTGAGAAAAAAATAACTGAGTTGTTCTACTTGGAATATCTCAAGTAATTTTTTTTATTTTAACCTAAACGAATACCTAAGATATTTTGGTTTAGAGCAGCTTGGTATTTTCAACATTAACTTTGTTTTTTTCCCCACAGAAGATGGAAATTCAGTGAAGAAACTCTCAATTGATCTGCCTAGTAAGAGCCTTTGGTTAAAACCCAGCATTGTCTAAGTCCCTCTTACCAAACTAGTCTAGTCTAATTCAACTCGACTAAAAGAAAGAAACATGCTTGAGACATGTTTGGTTTTGGATATCTTCTGTGTTTGGAAATTTAGTTTTATATACTATATAAATTCCCTTTCTAACCTATTAATACAAACTAAAGTGTCTTTTTAAATCTAAATCAACAATTGCTAAGTATTGCATTCAAATCCTAAAGAATAGAAAATTTCATAGAAAGCTCCTGGACGTTATGACACAAAAACTGCAAACCCTGCATAAATATCTATCTCCAAATTGTGGAATCTTTCCTTTCCTGCGTGCATGTCTAACTGCTCGTAGCCCTCGGATTTCATCACTGCGTGCTTGTTTCGCACAATTTACAGAGCTATTTCTTAAAACATATTGTAAATGTCTTTCTTTGTTTAGATGATAGTGCCCCTGAGGCAACCAAGGGGAGGAAAGACTCAGGTAAAAAAAAAAAATAGTTAAAGCAAATCTCTTTGCTGTTTATCTAATGCAGGTTTTAATTATTAAGCGGGAAAAATACAAACCTACAAGACCCTAAGTTAAAAACTGACTGCCCTCTAAACCTCTAACTGCTTGGGCCATCCTTGGCAGCAACAACTGCAGTCAAGCATTTGCAATAATCTGCAAGAGTCTTTGGCATCGCTGTGGAGGAATTTTGACCCACTCAGCTTTGCAGAATTGCTCATTTGAAACCTAGTTGTTTTAAATAAGCAATCTTCAGTTGTTGGGAAGTTACTTGTAACTTCTATAGATTACCATGTTAAGAGTAACTAATAATTAAGAGTAACCTGTTCCCTGAAAATAACCACTGCCTTCTGGAAAGGAATCTGTAAGCAGAGAAGTACTCTGTAAGTTCGGAGAAAGCATCACCTGTATTATATAACTTCTAAAATGTCACAATTTTCAAACCAGTATGAGATGGATGACAATAAGCAGTGAGAAGTTTACAGATATTTAAGTTAGAGGATAGTAGAAGTAGGTCAACGATTGTACAACAGGGTCCTAAAACAAAGTTTAATACATCAATAATGTTAACAGCAGGATTTGCCAGCATTTTGATTTTGTGATTTTAGAAGATCTAAAAAGACATAAAATTCCAATTCATTTCCTGTCACACCTGATGTTTACACCATTTTTAATGCTTTACATGCTGTGATGACCTAAAAATGTCTGCTGCTGTACGAGGCGTGAATGTTGAAAGTGACGTAAAGTGTCTGTTGTCTTTTAGTTGTTTCTTTTCTCTCTGTTAAACTATGTTCAAATAAACTTTTCGCAAAAAGGTGGGTGTCGAGATCTTTTACTGTTTTATTCTTACAAAGCGGCAGACGACATATCTGAGTTATAGATTTTGCCTTTCCTTATTGATCAGTGTGGTCTCTGGGAGAGGGTCAGAACCCAGAGGATGTGGACAAACCGATCGACAACCCGCCATTGTCTACGCTGTTGATTGAGAGCCCCCAGAGTGGAACTGTCACTGTAGGTGAGTGAGAAAAAAACCCAGACCCTTATCCTAAATAAGCGGTAAAAAGCTTTGTATATGCATAAGTTAAACAGACTAGGTAAACAGTTTACATGAATTGCCAGGAATGTTAGCCACCAAGCATATTATCTGGAAAATGGTACAAGAAGTACAATTAATTAAGCAGATCTTCTAAATCTTTTCCAATTACCAACAACAACAATTACCAACAGTGGCCAAACTGCCCTTCTAAAGAACAGGTAATTTAGCACCAGACTCTATGAGCTGCTGAGAATAATGTGAAGCATTTTTATCCACCTGGTTTTGAGCCGATTTGGCAGATTTGTAAATATTTTATGCTACCAGGTTATCTCAGGATGTCAGTAATTGGTCACATGCTATAGTCAATAAATTAACGAGAACACAAGAGGCCAAAAAGCTCCTTCAGTGACAGACTGCTGCACCCTAAATGCACCACTGAGCGTTATTACAGATCCTTCCTCCCTGTAGCTGTAAGACTTTATACCCATCAATGTTCCCAACAGCTGCAATCAGTCGTTACATTGATGCTTATTATTTGCAGTTTCTGTCTTAGTCATTAAAATAACTTGCTGCTATTATTTATTTGCACATCTCTAGTGTTGCTATTTTTCACATATCCATTACTTTAAAAATGTCCACAGCTGTTATTGATTTTTTATCTTCCAGATACAGAGTATTTATATTTTAAAGAACTGTACAGCACAATATTTTATGTGTTTTATTTTCCTATCTGTTATTTTCATACACTTTCTAAGGTGCATCTCGTGTCACCACGTCTACCATAACCTTTTGCTGCCTTTAAACCCAACAATTTCCCCATTGTGGGACAATAAAATGATTGTCTATTCTAATCTATTCTAAAAAAAAACAAAAAACAAACCTAAGGTTTCCAACTAGTGAAAAAATATCAATTCTGGAATATCATCAATAGTCTGAAAATTAATTTTTATTATCAGTGCAGCTGATCCTCACATTCCACATCCTCCGTAACTTTTCCTCTAGAGGCCTCCATCCCAAAGCAACGCCTACAGCTTCCACAGTTACTCTAAACTTGCTCCGCTCTGAGTTCCTTGTAGCTTAGCGAAAGCGTGCGCAATATTATAATGATACTTGTTCATACAAAGAAACATAATACGAGGTAAAAAACGCTTAATTTAGTATTAAATCATTAAAACTTATCATTGGTATCCAAAAACAGGAAATATCGGCCCAAACGTTTTCTCTTTGATGTGCGACTTTGTAATGAGCAGCTCTCGTGGAAGATGGAAAGTTTGAAGCCTTTCAAAATAAAATAAGTATTTTAATCAAGATGACAAATCTGCTTCCTTCTATAGTGAAGTACCATAGTTTGCATCCAATAATTCAATAAAACAGTCTTCTTCGTCTTCTAAAAATGTTTTTATTTGTAGTTACCGATTTGTTGTTATTTTACTTTGATAAACCTGATAATGTTAACGTTATTTCTCCTGTTTGGTATGAATGAACTTGTGAAATCCTTGATAGCAGAGGTGTCAAGTAACGAAGTACAAATACTTTGTTAATGTACTTAGGTACACTTTTTAGGTATCTATACTTTACTCCATTACTTATTTTTCTTCCTACTTCTGACTTCTAAAAATTATATTTTCACACAAGTATCTAAACTTTCTATTCCTTACATTTTTAAAACAAATCTTACACGTTACTCTTGGCTTCGGTTTTATGTTTATAAATATTTATTTCACATCATGTGCGCCGTACAATGCAGATCATTGGCTCCATTCACATCTAGTGAAAACTACTGTAATTGGATAAGTCATATAACGCAAATGCTCATTGATTAGCTCTTCGTCAAATTTGTGCCAAAGGAAATCATCAGAAGCAAGCAGGCGTTCTTCAAACTGCAAAAGCGAATTGCCTACGCCATGCTACAATGTCGGATTCAGAAAAGGAAATGTCTCAAGGTTGGACACAGGCGAGAGCGTATCGGGAGACGGAGACCAAAAACACCTCCCTCATCCTCGGCCCTATCTCAAAGAATTGTTCAAAATTGTCGAAAAATTAAGCTTTAAAATTCATATAGTGGCATCTGGCTAATTTTGTTAAAATGTACTTTATACTTTTTATACTTTAAGTAGTTTTTGGAGTGGATACTTTTTCACTTTTACTTGAGTAAAGAGGTCAAGTTGATACTTCAACTTTTACCAGAGTGTTGTTAAACTGCAGTATCTATAGTTCTACTTAAGTAACAAATGTGTGTACTTTTGACACAATTGGTTGATTGAGAAGGATGGAGACCACGTACATGGAAGGCTATGTTAAGAGAAATCACAGGCAACATGGAATAGTTTTCATTAATTAGCAGAGAAGTTACGCAGGATGTGGAATTTCGGTATGAGAGGGCGACCCTCAACACTACCTGTAGACATGGTTAAATCTGACACTAGAGTACAAGAGAGTCAAAAACCTAAGATATAATCTGTGTACTTTTGCTTTGTTTTAGGGGGTGACATCACGTTTGTAGCCAAGGTGGAAGCCAAAGATCTTCTCCGTAAACCTACTGTTAAGTGGTTTAAAGGGAAATGGATGGATCTGGCAAGCAAGACCGGAAAACATCTACAACTCAAGGAGACATTCGACCGACAAACCAAGGTAAAGGGGCCAAAAACTCCCACATCCTCCCTCAACAAGTTCTCCAACAGCACTGCTGTTCACAAACCCCGGTTCATCACCCTTCTTGCAGATCCACACATTTGAGATGCACATCATCAAGGCCAAAGACAACTATGCTGGAAATTATAGGTGTGAGGTGACCTACAAGGACAAGTTTGACAGCTGTTCCTTTGATTTAGAAGTGAAAGGTCAGTCACAACCTGATATGATCACATTAGTTCCTAATGGAAACAGACGGGCATTTATGTCTCTGATTCTGCTGTTTTACAGAAGTTGAAAGCTCACAGGCTATTGATATTCGATCAGCGTTCAAAAGAAGGTAAAACAAAATTACTGAGGAAACAGCAGGAACAACCACCATATTTCTAGCAGCTAATTGTTTTTAGAAGATATTTCAAAACACATGTTTAGATTAAAAAAATGCTTTAATTCCTCAGTAATAAGAAAAATAAGAAATTGTACTCTACGCTGTGGAGAGTATGAACATTTCTCCATCAAGTAATACTACTAAATACAATTTTACAAGATATTTGTAAAGTCATTAACCTTTCCAAAAGGTTATTGCAAATCAATTGCTTGATTGAATGTGTAAATAAAGGCCAACTCTTGCTTAAATCTAGATATGAACAATGTAAAGCAATGCAAAGCATCCCATTTCCACTGTAGTACTACAATGCTGTTATTCAGTAATGTTGTTCAACATTGCAGAAACATTGTAGCAAAACTGGTTGGGACCAATCCTGATGTGTGCTACACAAACAAATTTGTTTTAAGCTTTTGTCCATACAAAGAAAACAAAAGAGGTTTCATTGTAAGCACCAATCGTGAGCTAGCCTGGAGCTAACTCATCGATTGACATCAGAGCTTTTGCTTTGTGCTGCTCTTTTATCATTGTTTTCTAGTATTGGTAACAACTGCAAGTCTAATTAAATGTTTGGTGATTTCTCCTTGTTAACAACAGCAGTGAAGGACAAGAAGATGCAGGAGAGCTTGACTTTAGTGGTCTCCTTAAGCATAGGTGAGAATCATATCCTGATTCTGAGTGTGTCCTTGTCATACTTTTTTTTGGATGTGCTTCTTTCTCTTTCCTATCGCAACATATGTTAAGAATGTAAGACGCTTTTATTAGAACAGTAATTTAACTCTGGGGCTTTTAATTTGTAATAATTATATTATTTTTAACACACATAGAGTGTTATTTTTTATATATTTTATGTTTTACTTAATAGAAATATGTGTCGAAAATATTAGCACAGCTAAAAATAAGGTTTTGAAAAAGTCTGTGCGTAAATTAAAATAGCTGAATTTAAATAATGAGTTGTGAAAACGTAATGTCTATTTTAGTCTACATGTTGACAGTAAAATTAATTGAAAGGCTTAAAAATAAAATTAAAATATAAACTTACATGGACGGTTTATAATTACCCCATTTACACTACCCTTGAAAAACCGTGCCGAGACCGGTCCGAGCTCAGTAACTGAGATAACTTATTGTGTGTAAATGGAAAGCAAACTGAACTGAACTGAGCTAACTAGTTCCAGAGGTGGGCTCGGCTTGGTTTTTCCCTGGCTCGGTTCTCTGATAACAAAAGGGCATGAGCAGAACGCGTCATCTCCGTCTGGCTGCACATCCAGATTCACGCTCTATTGCAGTAGTTGGCGGTAATGCCCCTCCGGAAGTTGCTTGCCAACCAACACAAAACAGAAGAAGAAGTACAACTATAAACAACAATTAAAATCGTCTCCACGCAACTATGGGCGTTTCTCAATTCACGAGAACGCGAGTATGTACTCGCGTTCTCGTCAAGTCCGTTCTTGGCGAGAATGCAGGAACATCGGACTTGACGAGAACGCGAGCACGCAAGCACGTACAGGTGCTGGTCATAAAATTAGAATATCATGAAAAAGTAGATTGATTTCAGTAATTCCATTTAAAAAGTGAAACTTGTATATTATATTCATACATTACATACAAACTCATATATTTCAGATGTTTATTTTGTTTAATTTTGATGATTACAAATGACAACAAATGAAAATCTCAAATTCATCATATCAGAAAATTAGAATATTGTGAAAAGGTTCAAAATTGATGGCCCCTGGTGCCACACTCTAATCAGCTAATTAACTCAAACCACCTGCAAAAGCCTTTAAATGGTCTTTCAGTCTAGTTCTATAGGCTACACAATCATGGGGAAGACTGCTGACTTGACAGTTGTCCAAAAGACGACCATCGACACCTTGCACAAGGAGGGCAAGACACAAAAGGTCATCGCTAAAGAGGCTGGCTGTTCACAGAGCTCAGTGTCCAAGCACATTAATAGAGAGGCGAAGGGAAGGAAAAGATGTGATCGAAAAAAGTGTACAGGCAAGAGAGATAACCGCACCCTGGAGAGGATTGTGAAACAAAACCCATTCAAAAATGTGGGGGAGATTCACAAAGAGTGGACTGCAGCTGGAGTGAGTGCTTCAAGAACCACCACACACAGACGTATGAAAGACATGGGTTTCTGCTGTCGCATTCCTTGTGTCAAGCCACTCTTGAACCACAGACAGCGTCAGAAGCGTCTTGCCTGGGCTAAAGAGAAACAGGACTGGACTGCTGGTGAGTGGTCCAAAGTCATGTTCTCTGATGAAAGTAAATTTTGCATTTCCTTTGGAAATCAAGGTCCCAGAGTCTGGAGGAAAAGAAGAGAGGCACTTCATCCACGTTGCTTGAAGTCCAGTGTAAAGTTTCCACAGTCAGTGATGGTTTGGGGTGCCATGTCATCTGCTGGTGTTGGTCCATTGTGTTTTCTGAGGTCCAGGGTCAACGCAGCCACATACCAGGAAGTTTTAGAGCACTTCATGCTTCCTGCAGCTGACCAACTTTTTGGAGATGCAGATTTCATTTTCCAACAGGACTTGGCACCTGCACACAGTGCCAAAGCTACCAGTACCTGGTTGAAGGACCATGGTATCCCTGTTCTTAATTGGCCAGCAAACTCTCCTGACCTTAACCCCATAGAAAATCTATGGGGTATTGTGAAGAAGAAGATGCAATACACCAGACCCAACAATTCAGAAGAGCTAAAAGCCACTATTAGAGCAACCTGGGCTATCATAACACCTGAGCAGTGCCACAGACTGATCGACTCCATGCCACGCCGCATTGCTGCAGTAATACAGGCCAAAGGAGGCCCAACTAAATACTGAGTGCTGTACATGCTCATACTTTTCATGTTCATACTTTTCAGTTGGCCAACATTTCTATAAATCCTTTGTTTTTATTGGTCTTCAGTAATATTCTAATTTTCTGATATGATGAATTTGAGATTTTCATTTGTTGTCATTTGTAATCATCAAAATTAAACAAAATAAACATCTGAAATATATGAGTTTGTATGTAATGTATGAATATAATATACAAGTTTCACTTTTTAAATGGAATTACTGAAATCAATCTACTTTTTCATGATATTCTAATTTTATGACCAGCACCTGTATGTGTATTGGAGCAGAAGCGTACTCGTGACGTCATCACATGCAACGTTGTTTAGCATTTCTTTAACAGTCAAAACTATTTATTCCCTACACAAAACATTTTGAAAACAATATTTTTAATTTCTAAAGCTTAAAAAACATTAAAAAAAATTACCGAACCGCAAAAAACCGCCATCAGAACGAGCGGTAGTTCACACATAACTAGACCGAGAGAAGTGCACTACAGACGGGGTAAATTTAGCCCTGGCTGCGGTTACCCTCGGAGGTCTGCTGGTCACTCTGGTCCGCTCAACGTGTGACTTTTTTTTTAAATTTCGCACTAACTCTGTAAACAGACCACACAGGGAGGCTTAAATGTATAATGTTATCGCCTCAAACGATTTCAAAACGTACTTTTGAAGAACAACAGCAGCAGAAAAGGGAATGTTTAACTTAACACTGTGAGCGCTGTCTCGAATCAAGCTGCGGCCGCAGGGCATTCTGGGGAAGCGGTCAGTCTGAAGAACGCTCAAGTCTGCTCTGATGCATGCTCGATAAAGAGGGCGGGGTGAGAACAACATCCGGGGATTTGATGCATTCTCGATCTGGCGTTCTCGAGAATTGGAACGGTACTCGGGCTGAGGCTGATGACGTGTCACGAGTACACGAGCACACGAGAACGCTCAAGAACACATATTGAGAAACACCCATTTTGATTTGCTTGATTCCCTCCTTCTTCTTCGTCTTCTTCTTCTTGTGTTTTATGGCGGTTGGCAAAAAACTTTTGGTGCATTACCGCCACCAACTGCTTGATTTCCTCCTTTAATACTGGCAGTAATACCGCAGATCGTCACTAGGAGGCGAGGAGTCGAGGAACCGAGATAGCGTGATGTGTAAACGGTCGTCAGAACAGAGTTCGCCCTGGTTAACTGATCCGAGCTCGGACCGGTCTCGGCATGGATCGGTTTTTCAAGGGTAGTGTAAATTGGGTAATAGTATATCTTTTGCTGCTTTGTCTCTTATAACCAACCGGTTGGCAGCAATTGTAATAAAAAAGGAAAAATTATAAAGTCATAGTTGGTACTTTCTGTTAATGTTATACATGTTCATAGTGTTAGACTTGAATAAGACTTTGATGTATTTAAACAAGTACTCTGATAAAATTAATACTTCAGTGTCTAAGGCAAACTAACACATACAGATTATCGACTTATAAGACAAATTATTATTTTGTATAAATTCTATCACACCAAAAAAACATAGACCCTTAGAAAATACTCTGGAAACTGTCTACCTTCCTACTTAGCTGCTGAAGGCTTCAGTTTATTATTCTTATGTAGAAAATTTCAGATACAGCATTTGTAAATCTTTTATACATTGCTGGGGCTTTCTAGAGGGCAGTATAAGGCACATACTACAAACTCACAACCCTAAACTACTTGTACAAGTAGTAAACACACTTCTTTCTACAATTTGCCTCTACGTATAGTCCAAAAGTGACTGTGATTTCTGTCCAAGTAATCTTCCTGATCTATTGATCCTGGTGATATTATCAAAATCATTAGATTCTATTTTACTATTAGCCAGTAGGAGCTGTTAATCATCCACAGTACTTACCATGTAGTCATACATTTCCATAGGTATGCAGTGCAGAAAATACCACATGTAGGGGTGTGAATGCTAAAATGATGTAATTTGACACATAGAAAATAAGCCAACCCTTCACATTCTTTAACTTTTATCAACCACTCAGTTTTCTACCTATCTCCTTAACCCGTTGGCCAAATACTTAGCTGTAGGTAAATTGCAGTGAATTACTTTATAATATCCTATAAAGTTTGGTAGTGCATCTTAATTATTTTCCCACAACACTTTCAGGCACGCTTTAAATTCAGCTAAACTCAAAAATGATTGGGAAAAATCTAAATATTCTTTTTGTTTTGTTTTTTCATTTTGTAACATCTCAAAACGATACAACAATACCTCTTCTTGGAATTGCAAAAATCACAAAAGTAGCTAGCTATCTCATTAGCAAGCCTGTTAGCAAGCTTATGTAGACAAACTGGTATGAATGAATGAATGGATAAATAAATAAATAAATAAATAAAACTAATTAGTTGTGGTTTCTTTTTATGTTGTTCAACTGTGACTTTTTCGCACAAAAAAAGTTTAAAACAAATAAACACTTTGCCCCTTTAAATAAGACATAGATATTCATACACAGAATTATATTTATTCAGCTCCATTATACCAGCCACTGTCATTTGGTTAAAACAAACAAATGTGTAGGAATCTTCAGTTAGTCTCCGTTTGGTTATAACTGAAAGTCATAGGCTACATTCACACTGCAGTCTAAAGTGAACCAAATCCGTTTTTTTTGGCCCATGTGCGACCCGTAACTCATCTTTTCATGACAGTCTGAACAGTACAGACACGAGTTGTCAAACCCACTTAACTATGTGGTCCTAAATCCGCTACATATCTGATCTTTTCAAATGCAACCTGAAAAGATTAAGCTGTTAATGTGTTGGCTCCAGTAAAAAAAAAAAAAAGACAGATCCCCATTTACGTTTCAGCAACACCATCCATGTTTAGTACTTCCGTAAACTCAGAGCATGCTCGCTACTTGTGATGTCTTTGCGTCCTCTACCGTGCATGCGGGACAGTGATAGCCTGATAAACCAGACTAAATGTGAGATTAAATGTGTAATTTAGTCTGGCTCCGATGAAAGAGACATCAGAAGATTGCTGATGAGAACAACCCGTTGTTTTTCAAACCATGTCTGTGCCTATTGGCCAACGCTCTGACCAATGAGTGCAACTGACTGTGACGTAAGAAGCGCGACAGAAAGCTAGTGGGGGAGTGTAAACAAACAGCCTGTCGGTAAAACGGCAATTTTTTCCTCCTTAAAAATTAATGAGCGTAGAGCCTCTTCCTGCTCACATTTCAACAAAAACTCCAAGATCTGATTCCAAAGTGGAGTCAAAATCGCCATCACAGCCAGGGGTCCTTCACACAAGACTATGCCGAGAGAGGGCCGCTGCAGACGGGCTGTGATTAGCCCTGGCTGCCGTTAGCCTCAGAGGTCCGCTGGTTGCCGCGGTCCTCTCAACTTTGGAAATTGTTTTTTTTATTACGCATTAAATCGGTAAATGGACTATATTCTTACGCTTTAAAGTATAATATTCTCGCCTCAAATGATCTTAAAACTTACTTGAACAACAGCTATAGTAAAGGACATTTTAACTTTCAATAGAGTCCATTGAAAGCTGCTGCTGCCACAGTGGATGCTACTATTCAATAGTTGTTGCCATCTTCCTTGTTGTGCTTTCTCCAGCGTCGCACAGCTTTGTCGTCACGCTGTCAAAACCCCACCCGCAAAACCCCGCCTGCTTTGCATCTAGAAATTCAAAACACATCTCTCAGTTGTGATTGGTCCGCCAGTTCTAGGGCCTGGGGCATTGATCGAGGCTAGAACACTCCAGGCAACAATTATTTTGGCTGCTGGCGGGTGGGGCTAGTTTACTAAGCTAGGACAGAGAAGCTGTATGAATGCAATTTACACAGATCAGATACAAATCTCTTGCGACCACGCAAAACAATCGGATTTCACACAAAAAAATAATCGGGATTGAGCATTAAGGCCTGCAGTGTGAACGTAGCAATTAAATCTCAGCATTATTGGGAAGCTATTGCAGGGGCTCAGAGTAAACCCTATTGTAGATTGTTGAGATAATGTGCAGGACTTGAATGTGAGTGCAGAAGAACCTATCAACCTAGCACTGTTCACAAGCTAAATTGCACATTTATTTTGGGCTTGTCTCTTCTTCTTCCCTACATATTCAGAAATCAGAGGTTAGTAAAGTGAAAAATAATGGTAATAAAACGATTAGCCCTTACTGCAGGTGAGTACTGTAATCCTGTAGATTCCCCAGCATGACGTGTAGCTCCAGTAATCGGACGAGCAAGAGTGTTGGCCTCCTGTAGCATGGTAACACTTTATTTTGAAGGCAACATTTCTACCTGCTGTGTCAGAAGTCAGTAATGATACTGAGGCCTTGCATCAACTCGCCGTATGATGCAAAGTGCAACATTTTGGATCATTACAGACGTTTTAATGGGCCACAGAGAGATGATGCTGTAAAATAGTGTTATCACTACACACTGTCATCTGTTTCAGGTTAGAAATAAGAGCATAATACCTCCATGGTTATGTCAGCTTTTTTTTATTACTGACAGCCGAAAAAAACAGATGAGAAAAGTGAGAAATAATAGAATAGTAATTCATGCTGCTTCTTCTTTTAATTCAACCTTTCCGACATTTGGGGAAATGTCAAAGAAAGAAAGGTCTGGTGGTTCTTTGTTTGAGCTAATGTGTACACTCATCTCCCGTCGTAAGGAAGAACTACCTTTAACGATGTAAGAGCATATCTGGAGTGATCACTCAAAAAAGGCAACAAACAAAGGGATGGGCTACCTAACAGAAGCAGCTCCCAAATCCTGCATGCTGCATGGAATAAACAACTTTATTCCAACAACTTTAACCTAACAGGGCATGAGTCCTCATCCACCCAAATTGTTCATACAAGCAATCTCATGTACAGTGTTGATGGACCCTTTCTGCAATTCTCACTTTTTATTCAATTTTCAGTCCCCCCCCCCCCTTATTTCTAAAATACACATAAAAAAATCCTCTTTAACCTACCTTTAATATTTACCCTCCATCCCTTTATTCATCCTTGTGATTTAATTCTACAATAACATTGGTGTTATTACAAACTTAGAAAAAGAAAAAACTTCTTATTGAGCCGGTGGACTTCTATTTACTCTGTTGCGTGAAACAGGTAAAATATTGAGTTAGGATTCAACAAATGTAAGTTAAATACAGGGGCAATCCATGGTTATTGTCCATAGTAAAGTCATGACAACGACAAAAAATGCAATACTTGGATAGTTAATGAATCTGAAGCAACTACGGAAAACTCCACTCTTTGTTTCAACAAAAAGACTTATGGTACATTCACACCTAAAGCAGCAAGAGCAGCAAAAACGTGTGCTGCTTCATTTTTTATGCTTGTACAAGTTTAGTTCTGATGCTAGGCTAAGGCATCTTTGCTGCTCCAGCTGCACGGTCGAAAAGCGCGTTGGCAGAGCTACCCTATCCGTTCTTTGCATGTAACAATGGCAGCTATATCTGCTGTGATCAGTGGGTAAAAAGTAGTTTTAATATGTTTTAAAGTGAGAAAGTCCACCTGAAAACTTCATCTGTGCAATCAGTTCATCAAGATTACCAGCATAGCCAGTCAGACCCCCGTACTCCTGTGGTGCGTTGTCACTAGGAATCCTATTCAACAGCAGGCTCTGGCCCAGTCGCCTCTTTTTCATGTACGTAATCCAAACTGCAGGCACTCGAATAATAAAAGCGAACATGGTTTTGCCGGCAGATTTCTGCATTTTAAGTTAATTTAGGCGTCAATAAACTGTTTCAGAGGAGTGATCATAGTGACCTGTATCATCAGCGATGTTTCCGTCTCCCTGCCAGCTCCCAGATCAGCTTCTCTGATTGGTTGATGTGGTGCGTTGGGCAGCAGAAGTAAAATTTTCGAAACTCCAGCAGCAGCTGCTTTTGCATCACGTTCTGGTCCTCAGATGCTCAGAAGGTCACGACGTGCTGTGGGACGTTTTGCTGCGCCTTAATGGGCGTCAACCATTGACTTTGCATGTAAACTAGCTGCTTCTGCTTTAGGTCTGAACGTAGCATTAGCATAGATTCCATTTACCTTGTCTTGTTTAATCACCATTCATAGATCATCTCAAACGTTAACTGCTAAAATTTCCCTCTGCAAAATGGCAATGCACTTCAAGAAGTCCATATGGCATCAATGTAAGTGTTGTTGTTGGACTTTTGAAACAATCTAAAGCTATTAGCCACCATACCCACGGTAGTTGCTGTATCATGCTGTGGGGATGTTTTCTTCAGCTTCCTTAAAGCATGAAACTGTATTTATGATGGAGTGGTTTAGATCAGGGGTTCTGTATTCCAGTCTTCGACATTAGAATATTTTTTTATGTTTGAAGCTGGTACAGACATGCCGTTAAAGGTTAAATCGAATAGCAACAAAGAGGGTACAGGAGACCGAAAGTATTATTTCAACAACAAAACATAATGCTTGTTTTGTTTTTGTTTTTATTTGTCCTACATTAAGCTCATAGGTCCCTATTTTTAGTGTCCATCTTAGAAAAAAAAATAATTTTATTTCATATAAAATGAAATAAAATAATACAAAACAGAGAAGTCCAGGATCTGTTTATAAGATGATGCATGGGGAAAAGAAAAATCCCATAACAGAAATATATCCATTCTATTCCATGGATCCATCCTAGGGAACAAACCGATGGAAAAGAACCTCCAAATCATATTAACCGCCTGCTACCTTTTTTTTTTTTTTTGTCTACCCTTCTGCCACTAACACATGAAGTTAGACTTTAATTATTTATATTAATCAGTCAGGTATTATGCCCATCCCTTTGGGTAACATGTCCTGAGGAACTCATGAGATAAAAAATTTTAAAGGAAAGTTATCCGTAAAAATAATAAATTTGCCTCCAAATCCTTTTTTTTGGGGGGTTAAATAGAGGTTCCTCAGAACATGTTACAAAACCCCAGGTATACTGTATATCTGATATTTTTACCTTGCATAACCAGGGAGCACAAACAGCAAGATGACACCCCAGAGGTGGACGTGTGGGAGATTCTGAAGAACGCCAGACCAGACCAGTATGAGAAAATCGCCTTCACATACGGCATCACCGACCTGAGGGGTCTTCTGAAAAGGATGAAAAAGATTCCCAAAGAAGAGAAAAAGAGTGCAGGTAAATATGTGCCCTGAATATTTTACACAAATTAATGAAAAATGAGTTTCATTGACCACTGCTGTGACTTTAAGCCTTTGCAAAGAGGTTGGACCCAGCCTACCAGGTGGATAAAGGTGGAAAGATCCGCTTGGTAGTCGATCTGGCAGACCCCACAGTGGAGCTGAAGTGGTACAAGAACGGACAGGAGATCAGGCCTTCTCCAAAGTATGTAATTATATTACTTGTAATTTTCTTGCCTTTTTGGGTTTGATACTACACAAATAAAAAGACATTTAAGTGAAAGTTAAAATTATTTTTATTTGGGGCAAAGTATCCTTAAAAAAATCATTTTAGTTGAATGTTTTCATTTTCTCCCCTTTATAAAGCACAATGGTTCACATTAATGTATTCCTTAAAATTTACAGTAATGTAGACAATATTAATTAAAACTGTATCTACATGAAGATTGCTAAGTTCATTACAGCCCACATGATGGATACAAATGTGTGCATTTTGCATGCAAATTAGATAAATGAAGCATAAATTAGCTTCTTTTCTTTCATTAAAATACTGGATAGTGGTTGTAAAATGATTCTTAGCTGTGTGGTGGTTTGAAGCAAGTTTGCAAAAACAGCCTAAAATGTCAAAAACTGCTACTAGTCATCATATCATTACTTTTACTAATTAAGTTGTGAACAGATGAATTTCACTAAAAAGCTGGAGTCTTTTCAAATGAGGCTCAAATAGATTTATAAATGCAGGTTGTTATTCAGAAGATGCTTTGCCACAAAACTACCAGTAAATGCATCAGAGGCTGGATAGAAAGCACGGGTTTAAATACCCAAATGTAAATCATAAGGAATCCATTGGACCATGTGCAATCAGATAGTTTATGTGCATTGTATGATGTCTTTAATCGCCATTAATTGTTGTATTTGTCTTACTTTGCACAGGGAAAAGGTGGTACCTCCTTCACAGGTCTTTAACCAAATCTGGCTTTGGAATAGTTTGCAATTATATATGTACAAGTTTTTACAGATATTGTTCACTGAATAAACCGGCTTTCATTTGCTAAAATTGCAGTTACAGTCATAGTAATAATTACTTCTGAACTTTTTTTTTTTTTAAATGTGCCATTTGTTAATTTCTTCTTATTATTACTTTTTTTTCTTAGACTTATATTACTCTGTGTAAATCATCAATTTAATAATTTGACAGAAATCTACTCAAAAACATCTCTGTTAAAGGATTTTACAGACTTAAAGGGAGATGTTGCTTCCTTTAAAAATTAAGAGCATTTTTTTTCTTCCTCACAAGCAGATAATGGACTAAAATGATGTCAGCTAGAAATTATTCATATGATCTCAAACTTATAAAACGTTTTATCTTAAATGCTTTTTCTACATATTTAACCAGCTGAGCTTCCTTAGTTTCCATATTCTGATAGTTATTAGATGCACCTGTGTATTTTTACCCTCGCGTGTGTTTTAGTATATCTATTTGCTAGGGAAATAATGTCCAGTAAACATTTACCGTAATTTCTAAACTGCGCACGTTTTTTTTTTCTTCAGGCGTCAAATATTGTGAAGATAGCATCTGATTCGTAGCTTCTTGCTCAGAGTTAAACAAATGTCCACAGGGAGATTCAGAGGCAATGAAACGAATGCTAACTTCAGTTTATAAAGCACGCACATTTTTAAGTTAAAAAAACAACAACAATACCGCATAATATCCCAAAGTAATTATGACGGGGGAAAAAAACTTAAATTGAAGCAATTTCAACATAATTTCTCTACTTACTTTGAAACAATAACCAGTCAGGTGGAGGGCTAAAATGGATGGACAGCGGAGGGAGGTGACGGGGGCATAGTTGGTACAGTCCATTCTAAGGGGTGTTTGGTTCCCCAATAAACTAAATTAGCAGACTTACTTTTAATGCATTTCATGTAATTTTCAAAATACTACTAAAATTGCTTTTATAGAGGTTTATACCTCAAAATGTGTTGCTATCATATTTATAGGTGCAGTCTTTTAATTTAAATTAGGAGAGTACTAACACACCCCCCTCCATAATTAAATATAAACTGGTAATCTAACTACACCTTATAATTGGTTCCCATACATCAACTTGCCTAAATTTAACCTAATTGATATATTTCTAGACGAAACCAAACGATTATTAAAATGAAAAAGGGGGGGCTTTGCGAAGTTTGGATAAATAGGGCTTAGACTTAGACAGACTTTATTGTCATTTTATACATACAGAGTGTACACAAAAGACATTTTGTTCAGTTCAGCTTCCAAGACATTTTCTTTTTTTTTAAGTGTGGCAGTGATAAAAGGTAACTATGCCTAAATATACTTAAAATATTGTGTCAAAATGTTCTATCCAAAGCCATGTGAAGTTAAAGCCATTTGGGAGGATATTGCTGTTTTCTGTTTTTGATCTCTTTTTCATTCTTTCCAGAACTCTTCCATTCTGAAGACTTTTCTTAAAAAAAAAAATCTTCATTTCTATCTTCTTTTTTTGTCTGTTTTAATACTGTCACCACCCACCCCCTCAACCCACCCACACATCTGTCTGTCATACCGTGATGCTCCCCACCTTCATAATTACTTCCTGTGACCTGGCCCTATTCTGGCTCCGACGATGACTTTTAGTCAAAGGAAGTAAGTTCATTCATCTTGCTGATTCTCCTTCTTCCTCATTGTTATAATATAGAGCGACAATAACAGCTCCATGTGAAGGGAGACCCTTTTTGTTGATGAAACACCATTTTAAGGATAAATGTTCTTCCTACCTTTTTATCTTTAGATATTAAGTTTCAGGCATTGATAAAATAAAAAATAAAGGGAATGTCTGATGATTTTTAAGTCAGTTGTATTCACACTTGTAGCTCAAAACAGTTACAATTCCATATATGCAGGCCAAGAGAAAAACATAAACAAAAAATAGTGTAGAACAAAGGCAGAAAAATGCTAGAACAAGTCAAAAGACAAAATGAAACCTTAAAAAGATATCTTCAACTCCTGTCCAAATTTAGAGTGAGATTACCTGCAATATGTTGTTTAATCCTAAAAGTCACATCAAAATAATGCAATACGGGTTGGACAGAAGGGGTATTAAAAGTATATATATAAAATCAGGCTGCTATATGAAACATATTTGTGGTTAAACATGTTTATAGAATTGATTAGAAAGAGTGTTTTTCTAGCAAAAGTACATATTAACCATTTTCAAGGCAATATTTTGTTTAAACATATTTCCATTAATTGTAGATTTAATGCCTTTTGGATATGAGAATACATGCACTTAAAATATTTCTATTGAAGAATTATTACCCATATTTATATATCTGCTTCTTTAGATAGCCAGTGATGTAACTTCTTGACTTTTCATGCAGGTATATTTTTGAACATAAAGGCACGCAAAGGATTATGGTCATCAACAACTGTTCCTCTAATGACGACGCAGCCTATTCTGTAGTTGCAGGGGAAGAGAAATGCACCACAGAGCTTTTTGTTAAAGGTATCTGGAAAATCACTTTAATTCTAATATATAAGACTTTAAAAAATGAAAGCTATCATTAGCTTCTCATTTATCTGTTTCCTTCCAGAGCTACCAATTAAGATCGTTAAAGGTATCGAGCCTGTGAAGACTACAGTGAATGAGAGGATTGAGCTGGAGTGTGAGGTGTCAGAGGAAGGCGCCCAAGTTAAATGGTAAGAAAACACTAATTTTTCCCTCAAGGGTTTCTCTCTGATAAAACTTTAACAATCAGAATGCTCCAAGCTTCACCATGCATCTATTTGCATTTATTTAACAAAGTAGGCTACTTTTCTTTTGGGAAAACCCTGAATATATCCATACTTACCAAATGATTTTTTTAAATTTTATTTACTATTCTACATTTTAAAATGAAAAATTAATTCATTGAAGTCAAATCAGAACTGTAAGTAAAAACCCTTGTGGGTTAACAAACATGGTGGGGAATAAAAGTTGATTCTGATCTATTCAAAATCCTTTCTGGTTGTTAAAGTTTGTTTTAAAAATACCTAATAAAGATTTGGCCTTGGACTGGGTCATTTTAAAAGGTCACCTTGAGTCTTCTAGCTGGACAACTGTAATTAAGCCCCTATGAAAGGATGGTTGTTCTTTTAATGATTCAGCTTGGTTTAATTTTCAATTACAGGACAGATGACTGAGGTTTTACTCCAAATGTGTAAAACCTTTACATCACATCCTGTATCAATAGTGTTCATGGTGATTACAAGTCTGTGCCTATAGAGACAGATCAGCGTAGAAATGATGTTGGGTCAACTTCAACCCACCATTCTAGGTCAGGTTGTTTCAGTTTATTCTGAGGTGTAAAAAAAATTATTTGAAAAATTTAAAAATATATATTTCAAAGGGGCTACAATCAATTTAATGCTAAATAATCCTTAATCTACACTGCTTTAGCTCTGGGTTTGACAATTAACTTTAGCAGTCTTGGTTTCATTGATATAAAGAATGTATGATATAAAGAATGAATGAATCTAGAACTCTGGTGGGTTTTTTTTACTTTTCCAAGCAAAACTAACCTTCAAACCTCCTGTTAACCTTCTTATAGGAAACAATAAAATAGTTTGGTTTTGGTTGTTAAACTATTTTAAAGTTGGCTTATTTCCAGGTTACTTTTCCCATAATATCCTGATCCTAAAATATAACAAACATATACCGGTATGTATATATATATATAGATATATATATATATATCTATATATATATATATCGAACGAAATAAAATTATTTACTTATTAATTCGTCTATCTGTGGGAAAAATGACTGGTGCAATGCCTTGCAGGATGAAAAACGGTGTTGAAGTCCCAACAGGAGTTCGCTCAAGGTACCGAGTAAAGTGTGAAGGAACCAAACATTACCTGGTCATTGATGATGCCTCCAAAGAAGACACCGGGTTGTATTCTGTCATGGCCTCCGGAGGCACTTCAGAGGCTCAAGTCCAAGTGGACTGTTGGTGTCATCTTCTCTTTTCCTCCCCATGTTAATATGATTTTTAATAAATTTTAACTGCTATTCTAATTTTGTACTTTGCTTTAGTGAAACCCTTGAAGGTGTTCCAGGATCTGCAGGACATGACGGTGTTGCTGGGACAACCCCTAAAACTACACTGTGAAATCTTCCCAGGAAATGTCCCAGGCCGTTGGTACAGGAATGGACAGCTGATCCAACCCAGTGATCGTCTCAACATCATACACAGGGCTAAGTATGCCTCCCAGGGTGCCCATAAGAAACCAACACCTATCCAAACTTATAATTATAAAGTGGTCAAGATGATAATAGGAAACTTGCAAAAAAACATAGAAATGATGGACAGGCAGTTCCTGAATTTCTCTGCTTACTTGTTGGATTGTGCTCCAGCTCTAAAATCATCAGATTAAATAACCGTACGTTCTTCTCAGAAGCCTGTAGCCTATACCATTAAATCTGGAATATGGCGTCAGGGCATAATCAAGCACACTGAACACTAGATGGTTACTGTTATTTTACAGCAAAAAAATGTTTTTAACTTAGATTTATATCATTTTTACTCTAACAATACATACATTTTAAAGGGTTCATCGGCTGGAAATTGAAGCATGTACCCTTCATGATGCTGGAGATTACACTTTTGTGCCAGAGGGGTATTCACAAAGCTTGTCTGCCAAAGTCCACATTATTGGTAAATAAAACAGAAACTTAATATTTCCCTGTGAGTTTGTAGCTGGGCTTTGATCTTATAAAATAATAATGGTTTTCAATTAAAATTCTGCAGATCCTCCGAGAGTTCACCTGGAAAGCTTGAACTTCCCAGACAACACAGTCACAGTGGTGGCTGGAAACAAGCTCCGATTAGAGATCCCAATCAGTGGAGAACCTGCGCCTAGAGTTGTGTGGATGAAGGGAGAAAGGGTGAGCTCCTTGTTTATTTGTCATCTAATGCAGAATCACACTCACAAACTTAGGCAGGTGCGGAAAGTACTGCTGGATCCGTCCGAGATCCTTCATATGGAATATGATCTCTTGCCTTCTAGCAGAAGGTTCAGAGTCCCAGAACTGAACCGCGTTAAAAATCCCTTTATACCCACTTCTATCAAAATTTTAAATAGATACGAAGGGAGAAATGGGAAGTATGCAATAACTTAGTGTTCTGCTTGTTGTTTTAGTATTGTATGTTATTTTTTATTTTTCTATTTTAAATTTTTAAGAGTCTGTGTCTGTAGCTGGTATTTATTTTTGTGTATTTATTGTTTCTAATCGCAACTGCTACTATGCACTGCGCACCATGACAAATTTCCCGTAAAGGACAATAAAGTATATTCTATTTTATTCTATTCTAAAATAGCAGTAGAGTCCCTATGAGCTTCATGGTCATCAGTCTGAGTTGCAAACAAAATTAGTAAGTAAAATAAATCATTACATGATGTCACAAACAGTCTCTACAGTCAAAATACTACCCTTATTTAAATATGACAACTGTTTTTACGTACGGTAACTAGTATGACTGGAATCCAGATCCGAATTTGGAAAATATTTCCACCGCCTAACTGTGTTACTAACCCAGAATTTTTTCAATCAAATTACCACAATCGACATTAATTAAATCCATTTCAGTCTGAATTTTGGCATGCAATAGAGCACATTTATCAAACTCCAGGTCTAAATGTCAAACCCCGCCTTTTGTGACAATTAATCTGGCCATCAAGGGTTGTTTTTTTTTTATGTACCAAGTCGCAAAAACTATCAAATAAATGGGTAAATAATATGTTGAACTCAAAAGTGTAATATAAGCTTACTTGTAGCGTACATTTTACTGAAAACCATATTTGACTGATTATTTGTACCAGTCACTTAATTAGCCAAATTCATTTTTGGGTGACTTATGAATAACTTAGCTACATAAAGACCATTACACCTACCTTGAAGCAGCTATTAAAAAGCCCACAGGGGGCTGAGGTTTAAAGGTCACGATTATACTTAGATATCTACCAGCTGCTGTATTTGTGTTTTATTTTCTAGGTGATTCTTGATTCCGGCCACAGAGTCCACGCTGAAACCTACAGCGACCAGACAAGTCTGACAATCGAAGTCACAGAGCGCGAAGACACAGGAAACTATAAGATAGTGTTGCAGAATGAGGCAGGAGAAGCCACAGCCAGTGTCAAAATCAAGGTTGTTGGTAAGAGAATACAAACATGAAAAAATTAGAAGCAGATGTGTTACAGTAATACGATTTCTAAAGTGATCCTTCATGCTCACAGATATTCCCGATCCCCCTGAGGCACCACTGGTTCCAGTTGTGGGCGGCGATTGGTGTTCTATGACATGGGAACCACCCAAGTATGATGGGAGTTCACCCATATTAGGTAAAAAATAAATCATGGATTTTTATAGCTCAAATAATAGATTTATGAAATAACAAGCTTTCTGTTGGTTTCCTGTAGGCTACTTTATTGAGAGAAAAAAGAAACAGAGCTCCAGATGGATGAGGCTAAACTTTGACTTGATCAAAGAGACTTCATTTGAACCCAAGAAGATGATTGAAGGAGTGCCATACGAAGTCCGGATCTTTGCAGTCAATGCCATTGGTGTCTCCAAACCCAGCGAACCATCCAAAGCCTTCACTCCCCTTGGTGAGTAGCTCAGGCAGGCTCGGACTGGGAAAGATTTTTAGCCCTGGCATCTTATGCCCACACAGTCAAACGCTTGCACCAAGACTTCTATAATGTGGTTTTACTGGCTTTGGTTATTAAAACGGACGCAACAGGGACTGCTGCTGCGTAACTCCAACACCTGCACGAAGCCACCCGCTCACACATACAGCGCCGTCACGGACTCACTTTTTCCAGCCCAAAAAATATTCATAAATCGCCTGGATATACGAAATCTCACCCAAATTGAACCAAAATCTATTGATCTCTTAGGCCATAAATCTAAAGAAAAAGATTTAAAAATATATATATATATTTTTTAGATTGGGAAACATCCCAACCCGGCAACAATGCACGTAAGACGGGAAATGTTAGCCTTTAGATGTAAAACCCCGTCATGCACCACAACATATTTTTGCAAAGTATTCGAACATAGATTCGTCAAATATAAGAGGAACATCGTAGTTTGGTTTAAATGAAGCATTTTAGTTTTATTATAATATAGTTTGTTGCAAGGATTTTACAGTTTGTTGAAATAGAATTGTACAGTTTGATGAAATAGAAAATTACACCATATGCCAAAGGTCACAAGGATGTGCATGACAAGGAAGGGCTATACATACTACATGCATCATTTGGGTAGTTAACATTGTATTATTTCTAGAGCTCCTTCCGTTTATTTACTGTCAGAGGTAGGAGCTTCGGCCGGAGAGTAAATGTTGGGGCCGGTATTGACTTAAGGAGGGCCGGACCTCGCAGGTTGAAATTAGGACCGGCCTACCCGGCAAATGCTCAGTATCACAGATTACCAGTACGAGCCTGAGCTCAGGTGTTTTCAGCTTTTAATCAAGGATCTCAGTATTAGTCCCAAAATGTGGCCAAGGCAAGATTGATGAACCCTTACATAGGGTTTCAGTTGATATGACAATAGTTTCATAATGTTGGCAAAATTCTACAAGGTGTGTTGTGTTTTACCGAATGTGTTATCTGCTCTTGGTACCCAGCAACGCAGCTGTTCACCTCAATACCCATCATAAAAAGCATTCTGCCTTTGACCTTCACTAGACATACAGCAGCTTTAGAGGATAATAAATATGTCTTTATAATGGCTCTGAAAATAATCTATGGATTAGGGGTTTACGACATGAGGTCAGTCAAAGTTTGAATAGGGGTTAAACATGATTCAGAACACAGGAATAGACAGCAGCAGTAGACCCTAATGAGTTCTGGCATGAAGACTGATGGCATACCAGCAAGAGACGGCGGCCCCTTACTGTCTGCCTGTCAAGGCTTTCTATTTAGTCAAGGAAAAACCAGGAAATGTAGAGGAAAGAAAAGGAGGCATTAAAAGTATAAAAGATATTTCAACTCCCAGCTCTCTTTCCTATGGTCCTAATATTGCTTTTATGTATGTCCATCCATTATCAATCAGCTGATCTATTTTTCTGTCATCCACCTATTCTGCCCAATTATCCATTTGCTGGTCCATCCATTTGTTCTTTCTGAATACAGAAAAGTACAGAAGAGCTATATGTGTATATATATTTTATCTCTTTTTATTCTTATTTTTATCTTATTATATTGTATAGTTGGATGTGTATATATATCATGTAAAACTGTAACTAGAGCGTGTAACAAAAGTAATTTCCCTCTGGGATTATTAAAGTATTTCTGATTCTGAATGTACATCTTACCTTTTATACATACCGGTATGTTCAATGTTTCCATCCATCCATTTTCTGTTATGTTTATCCCTGCTGGTGTCATGAGGCGTGCTGGTGCCTATCTCCAGCTGTCAATGAGCGAGAGGCGGGGTACATGCTGGATAGGTTACCAATTTGAGACACAAAGGACACACAATCATTCACACACACACACTCACACCTAAGGACAATTCAGAGAAGCCGATTAACCCAACAGTCATGTTTTTGGACTGTGGAAGGAAGCCAGAGTACCAGGAGAGAACCCACCTATGCACAGGTAGAACATGCAAACTCCATGCACAAAGACCCTAGGCTGGGAATCAAACCTGGAACCTTCTTGCTGCAAGACAGCATTGCTACCCACTGCTCCACTGAGCAGTCCATTGTTCAATGTTTCCAATATATATTTTCTTTCTTCCTTCCTCATAATATTTATTGCATGAATGTATATAAACACAGAATTTGAGTCAAAGTTTGAAATCTGTTTTTGTTTTTTTCAACACAGCCGTGACCAGTGAACCCACCATGCTGGTTGTGGACGATGTTACAGACACCACAGTGACTGTAAAGTGGCGTCCTCCAGAAACCATTGGGGCTGCTGGGCTGGATGGATACTTAGTGGAGTACTGCATTGAAGGAAGTGAGTCAAAAATCACTATTAGTGATGAAACATTCCAAGACTTAATTACAACTGGACTATCCTTCATTACAGCTAATGATTGGGTGTTATCCAACAAAGAGATGACTGAGAAAACCAAGTACACCATCACTGGACTATCTCCTGGATGTAAAATATTAGTGCGAGTCAAAGCCATTAACAAAGCTGGAGCCAGTGCTCCCCGGACTCTACAGCACTCTATCTTGGTCAAAGAGGTTGTCGGTGAGTTCTAAGAAGTTTGTTGTCTATTCAACCACAACTGAAACAAATAAGCCATCAAATACAATGATTTTATAAAAATAACTTCTCCCTCCTACAGAACCACCAAAGATCCGTGTCCCACGACACCTGAAAACGACCTACACTCGCAAAGTTGGAGAAACCGTCAACCTTGTGGTGCCTTTCCAGGTAAACTTCCATATTACTTCAATGTAGCATATCTCTGAGTAGCACACTAAGGTCTTCTCCACATACACACAGGGAAAACCTCGGCCGAAGGTTACTTGGGTCAAAGATGGCAACCCCATAGAACCGTCCCATGTTAGCATTCGCAACACAGACTGCGATAGCATTATTTTTATCCGTAAAGCAGAACGAAGCCACTCTGGGAAGTATGAGATGACAGTGCAGGTTGAAAATCATGTCGACACAGCTATTATGGACATACAAATTGTGGGTAAGTGATCTTTTATTCTTATAAAGTCTAATCAAAACAGCATTTTAATAGAATAAATTATTATTTTTTCTAATGTCAGTCATGAATAAAGATTATTAATCTGAATTTTAGATCTACCAGGACCTCCTCAGAGTGTTACAATCGAAGATGTTTGGGGAGAAAATGTGGCTCTAGTTTGGACCCCTCCAAAAGACAATGGAAATGCCCCAATAACAGGCTACACCATTCAGAAAGCAGACAAGAAGACAATGGTTCTGTTCAACTTAAGCTCTAAAGCAAAACTCTAGATCAAGTTAAAGGTTTATGTAATGTTTATATCACATTTACTCCATTTTCCAGGAATGGTTCACCTGCATTGAGCACTACCACCGTAACTGTATCACTGTCACCGAACTGGTGGTTGGAAATGAGTACTTCTTCAGGGTCTTCTCGGAAAATATGTGCGGTCTGAGCGAACTGCCTACGCAGACTAAAAAGAGCGCTCTAATCGTCAAAGAAGGTAACAGTGTGAAAGAAGTAAAGGATGTAATTCTAGATTAATTGATTTAATAATATAAATCAATCAATGTTACTACATCTGATGCTGGATCAGATGTAGTATCACTGATATATGAAATATATGAAAACCTGACAGTAAAGTAATAAAAATGACATCTTGGTAAATTATACTTATATTATTTAGATACATATTTATTTTATATAAAGGCCTTGTTTTAAGGTTATTTACAACCCTGAAATTAAGAGATTTCTGATCAATAAAAACAAAGAAATTTTGTAGCAATTTGATATCAATTAGTATTTTAACATATTCCTTAATATGATTTTAATATGTGCTTAATATGTGGAGCATTAAAGGCTGATCTGCTGAGGAAAACTGCATGTATTTAAAATTTTTTGTCTGTGTTAACCTTTTATGTTAAAATAGAAATAATAAATGAAGAATTTATTAATTTTTAAGAAAGTAAAAAAAAAATTATTTTATTTTAAGACGCAAATTATGCAGATGAAAAATTAATGGGGCTGAAAAATAATACAATGATAATTATTATTTGCTTAGTTATTTATCTACATAAAATGTTTTAAATCTTATTCTTTAATTTAAATATTTCACTATTTAAATGGCATTTTAGGCTGTGACTGAAGGAAAAACTGTCTAAAAAAGTTAACTTTATTTTTTTAAGTTGTGGGATAATGCTTCGCAATTCCTTCTGAACAAAAAAAATGGATTTTTGAATATTTGGTTATTATTTTCCTTCAATGAAAGACAGTTATTGCATATAAATGAAAGATACCTATTTTTATCAAGATGTTTTTTTTTCATATTATATTTTTTCATATCATATTAGCATTCAAATACTGATGGAAGAAAATTATAAAGTTAAAACAGAAGTTGTTTCTCTACTTGCCAGCTATGCCTCCATAGCTGCTTTCTCCAAAGGTACTGTCAGTGATCGTTTCCACCCTCAAGTGAGTCTAAAAACGTTTGCACTTTCAAATCTCACAGGGTTTTCGGTATGACTGACAGGCCCTTTAGTAGACATGTCTTAGTCTCAGCTGGTGAATTAAAAGCATACATTCTCCTTCCCTCATCACATAGGGATTACCCCACATGATACCGCTCAGCGTCAGTATCATGCACGACCCCATTCCTTTACCCTTACCCCCACAGGTTTGCAGATGAAAATACCCGAGTACAGTGACCGTGACTTCAAGGAGGCACCAAAGTTCACTCAGCCGCTTATCAACACCTTCGCTGTTGCGGGCTACAACGCTACGCTGAACTGCAGCGTCCGTGCCAACCCAAGGGTAGGTGGTAAAACAACAGGTACAAAGTGAAAAGAAAGTGAAAGTAAACTTGTTTAACTTGTGCCTTTATCACTAAATATGTTTTGTTTCTCCATCTGTTCAAACATGGACTGCTGTTTTTAGAGTTTTGTTCAGGAACCCACTGAGGTTTAGATCTTTTTATCTAAGCTTGTTGCACATCGGCAAAAAAGGTACTTTATTTAGGAATGTTTAGGCTATCATTCCAAGAGGATTCTCAGTTTAAGAGTAAGTGAGCTCTAACATTAGAATTCAACATTACATAAAAGGTTGCATAAATGAACAAGCAATCAATCAAAAACAAAGAACGGTGCATCTTCTTGTTTTTTTACTGCTGAATATCATCTTGGTAACTCGAAGTAAAATAAGCTTGTTTTGCTCCCAACAACATCCACTTTTCTCCCTGCAGCCAAAAGTGATTTGGATGAAAAATAAGATGACCATCTTTGAAGACCCTCGCTACCGGATGTTTAGCAACCAAGGAGTCTGCACACTGGAGATCAGGAAGCCCAGTCCCTATGATGGTGGCATGTACACCTGCAAGGCCATCAACGACCTTGGGGAGGCCCAGGTGGAGTGCAAGCTGGAGGTCAAAGGTCAGCAGTGTGGTGATCTAAGTCTACGGGTCTTATTTTTATATCTTTACTTCCTTCTTGCAAGTAAAAAAAGAATTCGGCATTTACCAACAAGACCTTTACATTTTTTACACTGGAAATGGAAACAAGTAACTCTTTTATGGTAAAAAGCATTAGTTCATAAGGATCATAAAGAGGCAAGGTATCTTATGTAAACCACCTCAGCAAGATATCATAGCAGTCTACCAAATGGACGATACCAGATGGAAATGTAAGTACCTCAACTGGGTTGCACCATTTGTTTATAAATTCATTACTTCTTTTGAGTTTAGTATTTGAGCAATAAGAACGCTGGGTTACAATTAATCCCTAAACATATTCATAAAATAATATGTAGAGAATCTGAATACGACTACATTGAAGCTATTTTTAGTAATGTTTTTATTTTCACAGAACAGTGAGGATTTACTTTAAAACAAAGATACCAAATACAATGTTTGCTATCAAATTAAGCTAACCTTTTAATGTCCAAAATACTACAATGACTTAATTTTACTTTTATGTCAGATATGCCGTTAATAAGATTCAGGTACAAGGAATATAACTGTCTATTTTAAACCTTCATTTATGGAAAAGAAATATCCACCATGGCTGACAGTTGGATCATTGATGATGGATCTAGATTCTGGATCTATCCTGTACACGTTCCTTTGGGAGGCCCAAATCTAGCATAGAACTTTCTGCATTTTCTGGCATAGCAACATCTGGGAATCCCTCAGAACCAGCATGGCAGTTTCATTGTATCCGTTTCCTTTTGAAAACTCAAGCAATGTTAAACCCAAGATGATTAATAGATGACCTTTAGACCATAGATGTTCTCCAAAAGGACTGTTTGGTCCCTTTGACAAGCAATAGGTGTTTCATTGAATGGCTTTTTCCCTCTAAATCAGAGATGGGTAATTCCTGCCCAGTGTACTTCAACATTAAGATGGGTTCTTGGTCCAGCCGCCTGAATCAAATGGCTGAAACACATCCTCGGTATGCAGGATCTCCATTGTCCTTGCAATGATGTAATTACAGCATTCAGGTGTGTTGGAGCAGGAACTCGGATGTGTCAGGATCCTGGCCCTTGATGACATGACTGCCCATCCCTTAAATGGAAAAGATATTTTTTCTTGAATGGCTTGGTCCCCTTAAATGGACAAGAGATGTTTCCTTAAACATGTGGTCCCCTCCACCTGATAACAGATTCTTGAATGGTTTGGGCACACGTGAAAGCTTTCCTGCGAGCTTTAGTGATCCCTGGTTTGATTTACTAAAAGTTTGAAAGCAATCAGATTATCTAGCCAAAGAAAGAAAGTGATCCTCCTGCATTCTTCTCTGCACAGCAGGTGCTTGTTGCACATGCTGCTCATTTAGAGCATGTTCTGGGGAAAGAGCCATAAGGGTTAGAGCACCAATCTAAGATACCACAGTTTTTTATACATTTGGTGTCACTTTTTTTATTTTTATTTTTATTTTGAACAAACCCACTTAAGACAGTGTATTTCTTCACCATGCATTTTTTTTCTTCTCTTGATTAGTGCTTATTTCAGGCAGTACCGCTCCAGAGCAGCTGTTGTAACTAAATAATATTATCCACAAGGTTCGCTTTCGCTTTCTTTTAAAGTGCTTTGTAAAACTGAGCAAAAAAAGAATAATTATGGTGCAAAAGATTATTGCATTCTAGTATAACTAAACAAAGGCAGTTGATGGAGATGTGATGACAATATAAAGAAAAACACTGTGAACCCGTGATAAAAAATTGACAATGCATTGAAAAATGTCCCTTTTTAAAAGGCAAGAAACACAGGCCCCTTTATTCAATCAGGCTTGCCGGAATCCCAGCAGCCATAGAGAGCTTTAGATTTCCAGGTTGTGTATGGATTTATAAGCATTATGGTGCAACTTGTTGCTGATAATGGTAATAATTTCAAGTATGTGCAGTGAAAATAATATCCTCACATTTTTGTCTTTTTCCAATCCTACCCTCCCAGCCATTCTTTTAATCACAGCACACTACAACAGTTCACACACCAGTGATATCCTGCATTTTATTAATTCATGTTTCCATCTATTCTACTGTTTTCCTCTAATTCCAATGTCTCATTGTTTCTGTTAACTTTTCATTTAAAGAGTTCAGTAATACCTCAGCCGTATTCCCTGGCGAACACATATAACTCCATGTAAACATGGGTTAACCCCTCTTCTCTTCTTTCTCCCCCAGTCCCAACTCAAGAAATGTGAATGTATGTTCTCATATAAAAGATAAGGTAAGCTTTCATATGGATTCAGCATATGAAGCTTATTTCACTCATTGTGCATCTTTTGGTCAGCTTGTGTAACGTCGTCTCTCTCAGTTGGAAGGACAGTAGCAGCTGTTTTTTTTTAAAAAAAAAAGCAGAAACCAGTAAAGGATATTTATGTTTAAATGCCAGTTTTTGGCAGTGGAATCCATCTCTGGCTTCTTAAAATATAAAGTTTTAAATACATTTACTGAGTTCTGCTTTGAAATTGTTTGCCTATGCTATTTCTCATGCAAGATGTACCAAAGGCAAGGTAAGTAGATTTTTTCCTCTAACCACGTCAAATAAATTGGGAACAACTGATATGAATTCTCTGGCTGTTGCATAAATATCATATGGTACCATGCAGAAGAGTTGACTAATGATTTGCTTCCAAGGAGCCAGACTTTTGTGTAATCTTTTAATTAGTAGCTAAACAGGTTTTCTTGAATCCTTTCAATGTGGTGCAGATAAATCTTGGCTGCTTTTTGTCAAATCTATTGATGAGGCATAAAAGGGCCAGTGACATGGGCGGTTCTAGATGGGGGCCCCTAAAGAACTGATCCTGGCCCCTGATATAAAGACATCATAAAAAATGTATTTCAAAAAATGATATATGCTGGATCAGATGTAGTAACTGATATGTTCTTTGGACCCATTTAAGTTTTGCTTTACAGTTTTTTTCTAATTATGATTCCAAAATTAAGGTGGTAGTTTCTGTCGTATTGAGACAGGATCACAGTTTCCATCTACTAAATGTTATTTTTGAAACCATTCATTTAAAATAAGTCAAAAACATGTAATGTTTCTGAGTTATGAATCTACAGTGCCCTAATATTCCAAAGAATCTCTTTATTTGATCATTTAGCTACTAATTATTTTAGTAATTTTTCCCCATTGTAATGGATTCTAAATTTTAGGTAAAGCAAAACAGAAATATTTAAACCAAAAATACACATACTTAGTTAGAACAACATCATATTTAAGATAAACTGAATTTCTCTTCATTCAGAGCTGAACCGCAAGCAGATGTTTGGTTCTGTAGCTCTCATATGCCCCTCTGAAAACACTTTACACTACCCCTCTGAAACTGATCCGTACCGAGTTCGGACAGAGCTTAGATCAGTTAACCGTGCTGAGCTTGGTTCTTAGAAGCATGTTCCTCACCTCCTATCGGCGGTCCATGATAAAACAGCTCTAAAGACGGGCAATTACTGTACGCAAACAAAAATGGCGGCATCCAAAACATTCAAGAACTTATGTTTGTTTATTTTAGTTATATTTTGTTATTTGCTTATTGTAAGGCAAAGACTGTATCCTTCTCAGTCTCAGCACCATCCCAGGTCGCACCACGCTCATTTATTGTTTTATTTTATTATTATTTTTTAGTTTTTACGGTGCTAGTGGATCATTTTTCTGACAGTATGCAGACAGGAAAGGGGGTATGAGAGAGAGAGGACCACAGGCCGGATTCAACCCCTGGTCGGCCGCATCGAGTTCCAAGTATGGAGATACATGGGTCGTGTGCACAAACCACTGCCACCTGCACGCCCATTTATTGTGAAAAAGTTAAGACGTTAATGTTGTGAACAGGTGAAGAGATCTGTGAACTGCACAGCGGAACATGCCGTAAAACCAAAATGAGTCAGCTTACTGTAAATAGGAGATGAAGCAGTCTGATCATGCACTCTGTTATCAGAGAACCGAGCCACAGATGAACCATGCCGATTATTGCTGTTGAACTAGTACTAAATTTAGCACGGTTCGGTTGTGTCTGGCACAGTGCAGATCAGTTGCATTCCATTTACACTCAACAGTTATCTCAGTTACCATGCTCAGACCGTTCTTAGCACGGTTTCAAAAGGCTGGTGTAAAATATTAATATATTTTAAATGATAAACTATTGCCCTGTTGTTTATTTCCTGCTTTTCAGTGCCCTTTTGAAAACACATTGGCTCCACCCGACCCCCAGTAAATATGTTCTAGAACCCCCACTAGTGATTGAAGTCAAGAGATGATTATCATCTGGTCGAAATCAGGATTTCAGAGAGCCTGATTAAAAAACCGCTGTGAAAGATCATAAGAGTGTCTAGCTCCTTGGTAGTTATATCATTTATGAATCTGGATTTTGCAGAATAATGTACAATGGTTTGTGCATGGTTGCTGAATCAAAAAAGTTGCTGTAAAACGAATCCCAGCTCCATGTTTTGTCTGTTTGTCTGATTTACGAGTGTAATTGCTCAACAGCAGTGGATTGGAGTTTTACAACAATAAGAGAAATATATTGCTTAATATATTTAATGAGTTTATATTGTGCTGCTTTGCCATGTACCCATTTTTCAACAAGGTTTAACTCTGGAAATTATAATACATTTTAGGTTTAGGTTTTCAAAGCATGAAAGCAAACTTTTATAGTGTCTAGTGATGTATCACAAACACGTACACATAATCTTTTCTGTCTTTAAATCTTTCAAGGGAGTTTTAAAACTAAATGTTTTAGATGTGTACCTGCTCCATTACAGATAAAGTAAATGTTCGATGATCTCCTCAACATGTGCAGCTTCTGAACAGTTGCTTTGATTCAGGTGGTTTGACCACGTCAACATCTTTATGCAGGAAATCCTTTGTCTGATTATTTCCTAGATTACTTGCATGTCTACCATCAATTTAAAAGTGAAACGTATAGTAAGAAAACACTAACATCTCCGGGGGGCATTTTTCTGGTATTATGTGACTTGAAAAAAACAGTGGGCCTCATGCAAAAAACGTTCATATGCACAAACTAGTTCCCGGATAGTTAATATAAGTGATTTAGTATAAAATTTAGCATTCACCATTTTCCCCTATTTCTAATCCTCTCTGAGGTCTGCACTGGAAAAAAAAATCTAAATCTAGATACGTCATTTTTTTCTTCTCAGTTCTTGAAATGAGAAGGTAAAAGAGACATTTTGCCAATGGAACAAGACAATTTACATTTAAAATAAGAAAACACAGTTCCAAGGTCTTATTTCAAGTGCATTTTATCAAAATATCTTATTTTAAGAGTAATAATACTCATTCCATTGGCAAATCATCTCATTTACCTACTCAAATTAAGGGTAAATAAACTTAATTTGAGAAATGTTTTACTTATTTCGAGATCATTTTTTTTCCAGTGTAAACAAATCTTATGAGCTCTTCAGACATCCTGTAGGAGTGTTGCGCAATCAGTCAGCTGTTATCAAAATCTAGTTTTTCACTAAATTACTGCATTTTTTGTTACTTAGAGGCAATTGTTCATTTTATTAGGCTACATCATTATATATTATATAATTCTGCAATTAGAAATGACATTTTATTCGCTGATGACAGAACTATACCTACAACCGTCACTACACCTGCAGCTGGCATTTCGGTTTTTTGTTATTTCGTCAAAACAAACAGTCAGAGATCAAGATATTATTGAAATAACATCTGGAACAGAAAATGGAGGGAAAGTTCGTCAAAGCTTCTCCAAAGCTCCATGGCAGCTTCTTGATTTTCTTATCACATAAAATGTGGAAAGTTTTGGTTTGGGTCTTTCTGAATTCATCAAATTAGAGTTTTGCTGTCAACATTTTTATGTTTATCTATAAGAGAGATGGAGGGTATGAGAAAGGGAAGACAGATGTGGTCTGAGATGGACAGTCCAGGTGTGCATCTGTTAAAAGGAGATTTTGCAGAATTCCGTGTAAGCTGATGTCAACTCATATTAAGCATTTACATCTTATGTTGCCTCCATCAGTAGTTTTCTTTTACCGCTCTTGTAATTTATTTCCATTTGCTCTGCGTTTTACTGGTCTTTTAATGCTGCTGCTCACGCTGCAAAAACGATCTGGAAATATGTACAAATTCTTAAATTAAGTGTATTCACCCTTCTTCTGAGTAGGTAAATAAGATGAATAAGTATTTTTACTCTTAGAATAAGATGCACTTGAAATAAGACAATGTGATTATTTTTTATTTTAAATGTAAATTGTCTTGTTCCATTGACAAAGTGTCTCACTTACCTCCTCAGGTCAAGGATGAATGAATTATTTTAGGAAAAAATTACTTATTTAGATTCTAGTTTTTTGCAGTGCAGCTATCAGTCAGGAGAGCCTCGATCTGCAAACCTTTACAGGTTTTCTTTTCCGTCTTCAAAGCCGTTTCGATGAATTAACACCTGTGTGTTCATTCACATAGGAGGGGCGGCAAATATGCAGATTCACATGAATCACGTTTAGGAGGATAATTTGAAGCTAATGAAGTTAGTTGGACGTTTTTTTAATCTGATACTTTGCGTTTGTAAAAGGAGAAAAAGTAAGAGAAATTTATGACAACAACAAATGATTTTGTTTCCTTTCAGCCAATAGACAAATCGATAAATTAAATACCAGAGGAGTCTGCATGCATTCTTTCCTACACGTTTTTCAACAGATCAAAATACTGCAATCTATGTCAGCATGTCTATCAGAAGAATAAAGAGCATTCTGTAGTAGACTGCTAACACAATGCACTAGTAAATAATTTGCAAACCTCGGCTTGCCATGCTCCCACAATGCCTTAATAACAATTCTCAACATATTATAACAGTTGCATTATTTTTGACATAAAGGTTACGTGACTTGGAAGAGGTTTGCCTATTTAAAAATGTCACATTAGCTACATTTAGTTACTCAAGAACTGCTAATAATTTAGATAATCGAGTAAATGATAGAATATAAATGTTTTTGCAACACTTGGTTGATTATAGCCTCAAAATTACATTTAAAATCTACATACCAGCTGCTTCTTGAATTGTATAAAGATACAATAACTACAGCTTAAAACATTGTATATGTATCATGACTATTTAGTCTGTCATATCTGTACCTGTTTGCATGCTCATAACTTAGTGGAGGTTAGAAATAAGTTGGTGGTTCCAATGTAATCAGCTTTAATTATTCAACACCAATTGGTTTGCTTGATTCCAGTCCAAATTTAATCTTTGCGGGGTTTTTAGCTTATGTTCTAAGCTCTACACAGAAACTGTATTTACACGATTGGTGTATAATTTGGAATGGATCATAGACATTTATAAGAACAATGTTGCTAAGTTTCTCCTTAGCCAGTGTTACTAGCTCCTTGTCTCTCCTTTTTGATCTACTTTAGTTCCCTATCTGTAGCTCTGCAGCCATACACAGCAACCTAAACACTTATTTTCACCTTGGTAATTATGTGCAAATTTTGGTTAAATTAGGTCATGTTTTAGTGCAATGGCATAATAACATATCAGTGAAAAACTTACTCTTACTCTTTATTACTCTTCTGGTAATAAATTGCAGAATGTATTTTACTCTAAAGGAAGGTTGAAACAGTAACAGACGTTTCACTTTTGGCACAGTCTTATGGCTCAGCTAACAGATGTTCTAGAAGCTTTCGGTAGCCAAACCGTGCTCTTTTAAATGTTTCCTTATTTAAAACCAAATGCACATAAAATGTGTGTTCCTGAATTGTTTGTATTAATTTCTTCTGACCAAAGCGGATCCAGTGATGTAGGATAGGAAAGGATGTTCCTGGCATCTTTCCCAAAATAGCTGTCTGGTATATAGATAGCAGCTGAAGGCTGTTATGTAGCCTTTCTGACTTCAAGGCGTCACTCTTTACTCCAGAAAGGGGCTTTAAAAATCCTTTGAAATCTCTTAGAAACAAGATTAAGTCTTTTCTTGTCAAAACTCTACTTAAATATTTTAATTATGTCTACACTCAGAGAGGAGACATAGGCAGGCCTGGTCGATTACTTGTAGTTACTACCACCTTTTCCAACATGTTCTCTTTCCTATTTTGAGAAACAGATGAAACTGACCTCTTTCTTAAATCAAATACATCATATTAGAATTTCTAATGCATACTTATCAGCTTATACTGGGAACTTCCAATATAAATATATATCAGTCAAGTTTGTTTTACAGAAAGTGTTAAAGCATCAACGGTAGCAAAAGTAAAGATACTTGATTTAAAATTTTTTTTTCATTTTGAGGCCTATTTAAGGTTTTTATGAAGCAAACCCTTTACCTTCACTAACCTTGTAACTCTTTTTTTTTTGTCCTTAAGGCGGCTACACCTTCTACGAGCTCATGCAGCGTGGAGTACCCTTACACCTGATTGATAAATACATGAACGAGTCAAAGATTGTTGAGCAAGACAAATGAAACTGAACCCATTGCAATAAGAAGCTTTAGCTTTAAAATCAGTGATCATCAGTGACCCTCTTCTCTCACCTGTTGGGGATCAGTGCACTGATGGCAGCATGGCGGCAGGAGGGGTGAATGGATCGGTGGAGGGAGTTCTGCCCTGTGGTGTGGAATGCTGTGTGCATGTTTGAAACTTGTTGCCGTAGAAAAACAACCATTTCGTCTCCTTTTACACCCTTTTTTGTTTGAAATATTTTATTGCCTCAGAAGCATGCTGACAGTGTTTTCAATTGAATCAAATTTTTTAAAATGCTGTGGTGAGAAAAAAATAACATCTAAGAAAGAGCAACTCCTTTCTGAGGTTTTTAAATGTGGGTTTTTTCGGGTGTTGACAGTGAAAGTGTTATTTTTCTCTGGGGAGCTACATAGAAAGGAAACAGATATGTTTAAATTATTGTTAATATAAATGGAACTCAGTTCTGCTGAACAAATTAAGAACCACTTGGGTAATGTTGGAAAAGGAATTTGTTTTCGATCTTTTCTCTTGAAGGTGTTTTTGATTGTTTTTGGGAGAAAGTGTAGAGGTTTACTCACATGCATGACACCTAAACCTTTGTGTTTATTGTGGACTGATCGAGGTTCAGTCATGTGCATGTCTTTACCTTTGTAATTATGAACCACAATAAATCTTTCAAATGTGTCTTTTTGTATACGTTTTTGTTTTCCAAAAGGGAGATAAGATTTCTTTACAGCATTTTTAGTGTTAAAACAAAAGCAAAATATCCAGATATTTATTGATATTTCAATTACATTCACTCAACTTTCTGTAATATATAGCAACCTGCCTGGAAGTCACATTCCTCATCAGATTATTTGTTGAGGTATCTGGAATCGAAAGATGATTCCAGCTTCCTCTAAAGCTGCATTATTTGCAACTCAGTGAATGAAATAGTTTTAATACTATAATGAGTAAAATGTTTGACCATTTAAATTCAGCCGATTTGAATGACAATGTATTCTAAGGAAATAAAAAATAAATAAATAAGGAGGCAAAATTTGCCAAGTTAAACAGAAGTGATTTTAAGGGGAACGTTGTAATATTTAAGATTTGAATAAAAATGAATAAATAAATGCAAATACTGAAAGAAATGTTGTTACGTATAAATATATACTTAGACATTTTTGTAATATTCCAATCATTATTCTTTAATAAACTTTTTAAATAATAATTTCCGTTATTTCACTTGGATACATTTTGCAAAATACATTATTTTTATAATCAGTGTTATTTGTTGTTATTTCTTTATCAGTTTAATAAAATTCATTTTTAATATACATCTTTTAAATAAAATATGAATAGCTTTCATTTCATTCTTTTTGTTTATTTTACTTTATACATCTAAACCTTTATTTTTCATTTTATTTTGAATCTTAATTTTAAGTGTGCAGATTTTTTAAATTAGTATTCTTCTATTGTGGACGGGTCTCTGCCTTCTTAATTTATTTATTTTTTTTTACAAAGTAATGTTTTATATAGAGCACCATAAAACAGATATTTAAGTTAATAATGCTTTAGTTAGATTAATGTTATGCATTTATATATTTTTTTTTATTTTTTGTTAGAATGTAATTTATTACAGCTTTAGTCTGGGGATATATTTGCTCATTTATATTTTTCCCTCAACAGTTTTTTTTTTTTTCAACAAAAAGGTTGAAATAGACCTATTAGTATATCTAAAACATGTAATAATGCATTTATTATAATCATAGTCATCAAATTCATCCAGTTGGAAATCTATTGCAATAATTACATTCTTAATTAATTTAACCAATTAAATGCACTGAGGAACCTACAGAGGAGGATTAGGGCCAATGGGGAAAAAAAAGCTGATTTTTACATTTTATTTCAGTTTAATATGGGAAAAAGTCAGAATTCTGACTTTAACCGCATAATTCTGACTTTCCCCCCATATTAAACTGAAATAAAATGTAAAAATCAGTTAACTTTTTTTGGAACCCCAGGAATTCGCCTGAGAGTTGGTTTAAATTTACCGGTTCTCTGTCATGTCATCGCTCCGCTTCCTGCAGACTTCCACCTCGATCAGAAAGCTGTCGGCGGATTTTGGTTCCGCTGCAGAAATGGCCTCGGCTTTCCACCGAGCAACAAAAGCCAAATGATCTGCTCCCGTTTCGGAGTCGGTAGAAACAACAACTTAACCTTTTCGCAAGGCACTTTCTGTTGGAAAGCGGGGCTTTTGTTACGGTACGTAGAGGAGTGACGAGGCAGGGGACAATGCCACACTGCCTGTGGCCGGAGCCGCTGTCAGCCGCACAACTGAAGCGGCTGGAGGAGCATAAATACAGCGCCTCGGGTCGCTCCCTGTTCGAGCCTCCGTGCCAAGTCTACTGGAACTGGCTGGTCCAACAGATACCGACATGGGTCGCTCCAAACACGCTAACTATTGTTGGACTCTTAGTAAACGTCCTGACCACGGTGGTGCTGGTGTGGTTCTGTCCCACGGCAACGGAGGAGGTGAGTAAATCGAGCATAGCTGAAGTTTCCACACAGAAACGTTCCAATCACTGGTAATGACGTAGCAGAACTCCATATAAAAAGCCCCAAAACAAAGGAGTTCTCATATTTCTATATTTTATACACACTAAAATATCAAATTGAACGCATTGTCCAAATCGGAAAAGTTATCTTTCCAATTCGGCTAACATATAAGAAGCATTTATTTTTTCTAACTAAGAAACATTTATATTTGAATTACTTTAATAGCAGGGACAGCTAACGCAATTGCTTGTGTACTTTTGGAAATTCCCAAAATAGGCGTGTGATTTTTAGATAGACTGTAAACCGAATTAGAGATAATCTCAAGCTTCTATTGTTTTCTTATTATTAGGCTTATATAACGTCATTTCGGGCAGCGCCAGGGTGTTTTAACTGGTTTCGAGCCGACGCTGGAACTGGGCTGATTTGCGGAATAGATTAATGGTCGCACGTACTTGGAGAGTTGACAGAAATTTGACGTGTTGTCTTTCCGCCCCCATTTGATGCAGTGTTAGTACAAAACAGTATTTAACACCATAATCAGGACACCATAAAAAAAAAAAAAACACAGTTAGTTTAGCATTACTGCTATGTAAACACGGTGCAGATCCAAATAAAATGGAGAAATAAGCAGTTTTCAGCTCTGAGCTGAGCGCACAGATGACCTATCACCTAGATAAATGTGTGCATGGGTTCATTTAGCCATAGATACGATATATAACTGTGTGGTTTAGCAGATAAAGCACCTTTGACCGGTCTAAGCATGAGAAATAACTGATGAATCAAAGTCCATGCAGCAGGCTGATAGGGTCAGATAAAGTGTAAAGCTCTGCTTTGCAGAAAGTAAAGTACCTCTTTAACATTTCTTTCATAAATTTATGCTTTACTGGTATATATTAAAAAATAAATACGGTTAATTGTTTTATTATATTTTCTGTGTGAAAAAAAAATATGACAAAGTTTTAATGTGATATCCCTAAATCAATCCATTTTCGGACACGCGGGGGTCACGAGGGGTGCAAACAACCATTCACAGACTCTCACACCTAAAGAGAATTTAGAGAAGCCAATTAACCTTCGGTCATGTTTTTGTTTTTTTGGATTGTGGGAGGAAGTCGGAGTACCCGGAGAGAACCCACGAATGCTCAGGGAGAACATGGAAACTCCATGCAGAAAATTCTCGGGCAGGGAATCGAACCCTGAACCTTCTTGCTGCAAGGCAGCAGTGCTACCCACCCTAAATAAAATCAGTAGTAATTTTATAATATAATAAGCATTAAACTTCTCTTAGAAGACTGTCCAGTCCATCCTCTGAATTTGGAAAGCTGGGGAGGATCAGCACAACTGTTAAGGCCAATTTATGCTTCTGAAGCATAACCTCTGCAACCGTCAAATCTGTCCTCCTGACTACACGGCGGACGGTCGCAAACTCGTTTAGACCTCAAGCGGAAGTGCGCAGACAAAAAGCAGCTGTGATTCGTCCTTGGTTTGCCTTTTGGGCTGTCTGAGTGGTTGTCCTTCTCAATTCGGTGTCGGGGTGTGCCATTTTTTAAAACCGAGGAGTAATAACAGCAATGGATAACCACAACAAAATGTTGATCGAGGAGCTTGGAAGTACAACCACTTGTACGATGCTTCCGACATGGTGTTTTGGAAAATAAACACCCCTGCCGGCGCCGCCGAAGGAGTTCTCGTGGCCAGCCGCCGAAGTTCTCGCAAGTTCTCCAATAGGCTCCCCTTAGCGCTTTGTCGGGAAACTGCTGTGTATCCCTAGAAATTAGTATACCAGCAAAACTGGTTCGCGACCAGACGCAATTGACATTTGATGTGTGCGGTTGCAGAAGTATAATCCGCCTTTTAATCTACCAATTCATCTTCCTCTAGGTAAAGTGGGATTAAGAACATTAATCCCAATCCATGCCCATTGCAAAAAGAAACCATGCTGGGATTCAAAACCTACTAACAAATATCAGCGTATGTTATCATCATGCAAATTAACCTACTATTAAATTAGAATGCTAGCAGACCTTTTCATGCTGTTGCACCTGACTGGTTGACCAACAATAGAGCCGTCAAAAAAGGTTAAAGATCCCCCAGAAGTGAGGTTACGCAACTCTGAAGGATGTTGTTAGTTTTCAGGAGCATGTCCAAACTAGGGAGACCAAAGGAGACACAAGCATCAAGTGTACAAATATCTTACATGAAATGTAAGATTATATTATATTCATGCTAAAAACTGTAAAGAACAAGGCTGCACGCTATGAAACCGATCTTTTACACAGACATACCGATGTCCTTGAACTTGACTTATGCTGAACGTTTTGCCTCAGGAAAGTACAGGAAGTGCATTAATAGTAAAGCAGTGGTGGAGGAAAATTCCAAGCAGTTTTTCATATGTTTAAGTGCTTGATTTTTATCGGTTCTTTCTGTTTCTATCTCCACACTGTCTCCATCATATTTTGAAAAAAAAAACAAACAAACAAAAAAAGCTGATTTTGCAGCTTTGACCTAAAACTCCAGGGTTAGTTTCACTTCCAAAGTGCTTTACCTAAAAAGCTGAAATAATAAAAAAAAAACCACAGAAATGTTGTTTTGAAATTTTATACTTTTTTTTTTTTTTTCAATACAAGCATTGCTTGATTTTTTTAACAGCCTAAAAAATATTTTTAATTGACGATGATGATTTGAATTGATGATCATCTGAAATAAAAAAAAAAGAAGGAAGGAGAAATGTGTTCTGTAATATTTAGTTATTATTGCCATATTGAAATGACTTCAAGCTGAGTTTGTGAAACCTGTTAGATTTTCTAGAGACCTGGAACTGGTTCTACCACCTCCACTAAGGTGGACAAACTCTAACTGGGAGGTTCTTTTACCTCATATTTTCCAAATCAGTTAGCTTTATTTCTCATATTTCCTATTACTTAAATCACTTTGATTTAAATCTCTGTAAACACCTCTGTTTGCCTGACTGCAATGTCATGGCACACCTGCTTTTATACAAAGGCTGTAAAAGAGGGGAGGAAAAACCTTCACCTTTAAGTCTAACAGAGCAACACATTCCTGAACACAATACGAGTCGAACTTAAAGATTCTGTCAGCCATATTAGACCCTCCAACTATGCTCCAGTTCAAGGTCATGATCA